CTAAGCCACCAGCAACATGCTGTATCAATAAAACAGCAGAAGACCATGTGCTCTCTTCGTTTCAACTTTGGCTGCAACTTACTATCAGCAATACCCCCTAAGCTTGCTTAGGAGATGTGTCGATCAACGGTCAGACACTAATGAATATAAATTCGGGAAGTGTATACTCATATCTGCCAATGATGTTGGAGAAGAGCATATACAGTAGGTGGGAACAAAAGTTTAAGTCGATCCCCCTTACTCCTGGTAAAGCAGTGCTTAAGGCCAGACCAAAGAATAGGCAATTATTGAACAACCCTATAGGGTCATTAGTAGGACTATGGGAAGGTAGAGCTCAATGGAATGTTCTGTTTAAATACATCTTGAAGTACAGGTGGTTCTCATTTTAGGATCTGCCTGTTTTACGATGGCTCACACTTACGACCAGCTCTCTAGTGTGGGGGTATATGTGAGCCATCATGGGGATTACAGGGATTCCCTGCTCTGGTGCAATAGTCTATGTTTGGGGAACTTACCCTGAACATAGACAAATGCACCGGAGCAGAGAATCCCTCTAATCTATGTTCAGGGAAATTTCCCCGAACATAGATTTAAGGGATTCCCTGTTCTGCTGCGTTCGTCTATGTTCGTAGAAATTTCCCCCAGACATAAACAAGCACACCAGAGCAGGGAATCCCTCAACTCCTCACCTACTGACAAATTCATTTTACAACGGGGTCGTAAGAATGGAACCCAGGCGGTAAGTGAGGTGTGCCTGCAAAATGTCAGTCTACCATGTGCAACGTCCATAAGTAAAAATAAATGTGAGGCGATTTTAATGAGTCCTTTGTCATTACATGAGTACTTCTTTTATATCCATCAAGAAAATCATTTCACACAGACACAGTAAGACAGTCACATGATGACCAAATGCATGGTCCTTGCGAAGAGACAAAATGCTTAGAAATAAATAGAGTTACTGTCAAAATAACTGGATGTTCTTGATATCAAGTAACTGGTAATAACCAGTAGAAAGATCTTTATTGTCATAATTGCCTATACTCATATTTCAAATGAATTCATGAATGAATATACCCCATTTTTGGCTGAGTATCTTGCACGTGAAGAGTGGCTATAAAAATATTAGAAAATTAAATAAATCGTCCCCCGTGATGATCTAAGAATCAGTTGTGGGCAATTGTTCTCAATATCAAAACAGAATCAATCATTCAAATATGAATACAGGAACAAATACTAATTATTAACTGGAATATAATGGAGGTTGCTGTGAAAGTAAGTGAATGTTCTCAATATAAAATAACTAATGATCACCCAAAGAGGTCTTCAATGCCTACTTAGTACTAACTAACAATTCCAATGTGCTGCGCATAATGTGGATGAATGAGTCTACCACGTTTTTCAAGTAAATGCCTTTAATGTCTCATGGGCGCTAAAGATGAGATGAAATGTATCGTGCCTATGAAAATACAAAATTATTTAGCATGTTGGTGCTTAGACGAGATCAAGAATGAAATTCTTGTCCAAGATGAATAGGAGAGAGCTAAAGTTAAATCGCACTAAATTTGTTATGTGAACACATGATAGAGCTGCATGTTTAGAGATACAATTAAAAATTTAGCTTTGTAAAAAAAGAAATAAGTGCAACAATAGGTATTACACTTTTATGTTTTAATTACTCCACAGAATATTAGTAACTATGTGTTTAAAACAACCCAGTGCCTCAAACAAGTATCACCTGCATATTACATTTTAAGACAAACATTATTAAATACACATTTCAAATAACCTTGTAATGACTAATAAAAGTCAGACTCTGTATTGTCATGTGTCTTTATGTCGATTCCCTTTAATGCCAGTTTACACTCACCTGTGCAGGTTGTATATGAGACAGATTGACTTTCAGTGACATTATCAGCCGCTCTTGTAAATACAGTGAATGTATATGTTACTCCGGGTGTCAGATTAGTTACATTGAGTTGATTTGATGACGTTGTTTGATTTATCACTACAGATGAATTGTTTTCTATTTGTACTCTGTAGATGTAATCACTTCTATACTCATCAGGTTGATTCCAAATCAGGAAAACAGATACAGTAGTTGTTCCATTATTTCCGAGCTGTTTCACTGGCATTGGTTCTAGAGTTAGAAAATAAAACACGATCTGGTTCATTCTGTAGATTGCAATGTTCTCTCAGGGAATTATTTATATTATATTATATTAACATATAAAATATATGTTAATATGTATCTAACAAAAAATGAAATAAACTCCATTATTGCAAAAATTCTCCTAATAAAACTTTTTTTTGATTTCTAGATACTGTAGCCTTCAAGGGACACTATAGACACCAGTGCAACTATATGTATTCCTGACCCTATAGTGTTAACACAACCATCTAGCCCCCCTGGGCCCCTCATGTCTCCATAAATATAGTAAAAATCTTACTGTATTCAAGCCAGAAGGTGTAAATCTGCATGCTGTTAGACTCAGGAAAAACAAGCAGTCTACTGACATGTGGTAGCTTGATCCAATCACAGTGCTTCCCCATAGGATTGGCTGAGACTGACAAGGAGGCAGATCAGGGGCAGAGCCAGCATGATTCAAACACAGCCCTGGCCAATCAGCATCTCCTCATAGAGATGAATTGAATCAATGAATCTCTATGAGGAAAGTTCAGTGTCTGCATGCAGTGGGAGGAGATACTGAATCACAGGATGCTCGTGCACAGCAGATCTGAGTGGATGGAGGCATAGTATGCCACGTGGACTAAATTTTGTCTGCCCGAAGCTTTTTTTTTGTGTAAAATTTGATTGGCCAAAAATCTACTAAATATTGTAGGAAAATGAAAAACTCCATTAATGCAGAAATTAACCTAATAAAACTTATTTGTGAATTCTAGTTACTGTAGTCTTAAACGGAAACTATAGTGATATCGGCGCTGGGATCAGGTTAGTAAATAAAGGGTTTTTAAGCATTTATTCACCGCGGCGGGGAGAGCAAGGGAGAGGCAAAGGGAGCTGTCATGACAGAAATACAGCTGTGTATTCCAGGCAGCACAGTATCACTTACGATACCTATAGAATGTCTCTGAGCGCTTAGCACATTGCACACTGAATAGCAGCTGTTCTGCTCCCCCAACATTTCCAACATTTATGGTGAAATAGCCAAGCTGTAACTATAGTCAAATTGGAGAATCAACCTAATCAACAGTTTTTGTCTAAATTTTCCAATTTTATTTTTAATTCACTAAAATCCAGCCTTTCGTAAATTTTAGCCAAACATGTTAAATGTCTGAATAAAAAATGTTGAGTATCGTGTTGATTCCAACATATTCAGCAAAACTCATTATATCCCATTCTCAGGCAGCGCTATGAGTGGAACCAGCTCAGAACACAGAGTTTAACATAATAAAACGTTCTATTGCAGAACATACAGAAAGCTGTAAACCTACTTGTGTAGATGGAACTGGTCACAGGAGAACTCTGATACTGATGAGCACCAACTGTTACTACAGTAATTGTGTAATTAGTGCCAGATGTGAGGTTCTGAAGTGTGAAATTTAATGTGTTTACTGTCACAGTCCAAGAGGATGAAGAATTGCTGTAAGTTATATTGAAAGTCTTTGTCACATTGGCCATATTTACTGGTTCTCCACATGACAATGAAATGGTGTTTGTTCCGATATTTGTAAAGCTTAATGAGTTTGGAGGGGTTGGATCTACGAAAAAACAAAACATTTAGTTATAGGAATCATTATTGCATTATCCTCAAAATAATGCACTTTGGCCTCGATTCAATATTTTTGGATACACTTTTCTAATGGTTCATTAGTATGTACCGTATTTTTCGCTCCATAAGATGCACCTCACCATAAGACGCACCTAGTTTTTAGAGGAGGAAACCCAGAAAAAAAATATTCTGAACTGTTCCATAGTGTTTCTTACTATGGGACAGTTTGTTCAGAATATTTTTTTTTTCTCCCCTGTCCCATAGTGTTCCTTACCACCCACTCCCCTCTCCTGTCCCATAATGATCTTTAACCCCCCTCCCCTGTCCCATAGTTATCTTTAAATCCCCCTCCCCTGTCCCATGGTGATTTTTAACCTCCTTTCCTCTGTCCCATAGTGATTGTTAACCCCTCCTCCCCTGTCCCATAGTGTTCTCATCCCATAATGTCCCCCCCCTCCCCTTGTCCCATAGTGCACTTTCCCTCCCATATTGTCCCCCCTCCCCTTGTCCCATAGTGTCCCCCCTCCCCTTGTCCCATAGTGTCCCCCTCCCTTGTCCCATAGTGCACTTTCCCTCCCATAGTGTCCCCCCCCCCCCCGTCCCATAATTACTTACCTGTCTTATAGCGTGGGCCGGCTTAACAGCGCGCACAGCGCTACAGGAACTTCAATTTCAGTTTCCAGTTTCCGGCGGGACTGAAAGGAAGTGTGCACACTGAGTGTGCACTTCCTTTCAGTCCCGCCGGAAACCGGGATCTGAAATTGAAGTTCCTGTACCGCGGTGCGCGCTGTGCTGCTGGCCCACGCTACAAGACAGGTAAGTAAAGCTTCACATTCGCTCCATAAGACGCACAGACATTTCCCCTCAATTTTGGAGTGAAAAATATACGGTATATATATTTAAAGAAACTTTCAAAATCATTTTCCAAATTATTAAAAAATCTAATAATACAAACAAAATCAACAGAATACAATACATAAAAAATTGTGTAATTTGAAAAGCTTATGCAAAAATATTAAATCAAGCCTTATATCTAAATTTTCAGCTTGTCTGAGGGACTCAGTTAGTGCTCAATTAGTAGGTTTTAGCTTAAAATGTAAAGTTCTGTCCCAATGATCCCATCATACTCACATGTTGCCTCTATCACTGGAGCTGCTGACTGGCTGCAGTTACTACTAACTGTCTGTATAGTGATGGAGTAGTTTCTGCCTGGCAGTAAGTCTGTGAAATCCACTTGTGTAGAATTAGTTGTGATTGTTCTATTGACTTCTCCATTCAGAGTGACTGTGAAATAATCCACTTTCCCTGCTGGTATTGTCCAGTTCACACTGAGTGAATTAGTAGTATTCTTATTATTTACTGTGATATTCTGAGCCAGACCCGGAACTGAAAGAACGCAGAATACAATGCAGGTAAAAATATAGGATCTTATATTAACCATACATATAATGTATATGAATAAGAAGGCCAGAGCTATATAGCTTATAGCGACAGTTTAATAGAGATAACCTTAGGAAAACACCAAAACACATCTTAGCAAAGACATCCTATTTCACTCTATCAAACCCTTGTACCTACAAAATCAAGTCACATGTAGGTTTCGGGTGGCCTTGCTCATCATAATTGACAGTGTGGTTTGCTTGGCATAAAAAAATAACTTGTTTTTTTTTGTTTAGTCAATTTATCACTACATGTTAAAGTGAATCCGTTATGCCATGATCACCTTGAACCATGACAGCTCTTTAACCCCTTAAATACACAACTTCAGAAATAAAAGGGGAATCATGACGGATTATTTCCATCATGTGTCCTTAAAAGGTTAAGGCAGTAAATTCATCATGAGTCATAAACATATATATACTAGCTTTTGGAGCTCTCATCGATCTACTAATGTTCTAATTATATACTTTGCCTTAGTGCTGTCATTCCCAGCAGTGTATGGGTTTTACACTATTGTGAAACTCGTATTCTGGTCCTGTCTCCTCTCTGTTGTGATTGGCCCTGTTTAGCTACTTTCCCACGCAGCTCAATCCTGCCAAATATCCCTGACATACTAGCTTCACAGTCAGCACATCAGTACATCCAATACTCAACTGCAAGCAGGAGAAACACTTACCGGGGTAGTAGCACTGTGATAGACAGCAGAAGAACCTACTGCAGGATAAAATCTTAAATAACACAACACCTGTAACTTGTGTCAACCTTTTTGTTCATGTGATGATCCACATTCTTTTAATGTGACAGGTTCATTTTAACATGCAACAACCTCAAGACAGTAAATATATAACTTATCACAGTGATACATTTTGTATTTGATTGCTTTGGAAGCTATTATCATATCATTTACCTGGTGCCCTAGCTCCAGCGACACAATCCCAGAGTGTGTGAATCTTATAGAATTAACCCCTTAACCCCTTAAGGACACATGACATGTGTGACATGTCATGATTCCCTTTTATTCCAGAAGTTTGGTCCTTAAGGGGTTAAGGACTGAGACAAATGTACAAGTTGTGAGCAAAACAAAATGTAAACAAACCACAGAATTCGACTATATGTCTGTTCAACAATAATTTACCTCTTTCATACTAAGTGCACCCACACTTATTATATATCAATTTATTCAGGGGAAACAGAGCATTCATTTCATATCAAACATTCATATATGGATCTCCATTTTATATGAATACAATCTAAAAAAACTTTAACAAATTAGGACATTTTGTTATTTTTCAATTTCTGAATGGCAATTTAAATGTTAATGTCAGAATACTGTTCGGTTTTCCTGCAATAAAACATTCATATTTGTATTCAGAAATGTCTCATAAGTAAAACAGTACTCCCCATGTATAGGTTTTATGGGGTTTTGGAAAGTTTTAGGGTCAAATATACGGCTTGTCCATTATTATTTTTTTCTACATAGAAATTTGACAGATTGGTTTGCTGGACCTAGGTTGCCTTTGAGACCGTATGGCCGCCAAGAAATGAAAATTACCCCCATCATGGCATACCATGTGAAAAGGTAGACATCCCAGGGTATTCAAAATGGGGTATGCCCAGTCTTTTGTAGTAGCCACTTGGGCACAAGCCCTATCCAAAGTTAGTGTTCGTTTTTTTGTTGCATTTTTCACATAAAAACTGTATTTCACTGATAATATTATTGTTAGTATATAGTTTACTGCCCTAAAACACTCCTAGTTCTGTTCAGTGATGACTCACCAACACTACGGTACCCCCATGTATAGTTTTAATGTGGTTTTGGAAAGTTACAGGGTCATATATACGGCTTATCCATTTTTGCTTTTTCACATTGAAATTTGTCAGATTAGTTTGCTGTGTCTAGGCTGCCTTTGAAATCGCATGGCAGCCAAGAAATGAAAATTACCCCCATCATGGCATACCATTTGAAAAAGTAGACATCCCAGGGTATTCAAAATGGGGTATGCCTAGTCTTTTGTAGTAGCCACTTGGGCACAAACCCTAGCCAAAGTTAGTGTTCATTTTCTTTTTTATTTTGCATTTTTCACATAAAAACTGTACTCTTACTGATAATATTATTGTCAGTATAAAGTTTACTGCCCTGAAACACTCCTAGTTCTGTTCAGTGATGTCTCTCGAGAGCCACGGTACCCCCCATGTATAGGTTTTATGGGGTTTTGGAAAGTTACAGGGTCATATATACGGCGTATCCATTTATGCTTTTTTACAATGAAATTTGTCAGATTAGTTTGCTGTGTCTAGGCTGTCTTTGAGAATGTATGGCAGCCAAGAAATGAAAATTACCCCCATCATGCCATACCATTTGAAAAAGTAGACATCCCATGGTATTCAAAATGGGGTATGCCCAGTCTTTTGTAGTAGCCACTTGGGCACAAACTTTAGCCCAAATTAGTGTTCGTTTTTTTGTTGCATTTTTCACATAAAAACTGATAATATTATTGTTAGTATATAGTTTACTGCCTTGAAACACTTCTAGTTCTGTTCAGTGATGTCTCACGAACACCATGGTACCCCCCATGTATAGGCTTAAATGGGTATTGGAAAGTTATAGGTTCATATATATGGCTTATCCATTTATGCTTTTTTACATTGAAATTTGGCAAAGTGATCTTCTTGTCCTATCTCGCCTTTGTGAGAGCATGGCAGCCTGGGTAATAACATTTCCACAATTATGGCATACCATTTTCAAAAGTAGGCAACCCAGGGCATAACAAATGGCATAATTTGAGATGTTTGGTCTAACCACTTTATCAGAAATGAAGGGCCCACATAGCGGTTATAGTTTTATTTGTGCTTTTTCACACACATGAACTCACTTTTAACAGGACATTTCATATTCCTGATATGAGTTATTGCAACAAAGCCTCACTATTTTTATTTAACATTGTCTCCTGAATATAACAGTACCCCCATGTACCAGACTTTCTTTTTTTTGGGGTAGTCACGGGGACAAAACTATTAGATGCCCTTTCAGCTTGTAAGTTTGTCAAAGTTATTTTCTGGGCGTATGTGGCTTTTCAAAGAGTATGGCAGCATGGGTAATAACATTTCCACCGTTATGGCATACCATTTTCAAAAGTAGGCAACCCAGAATATAACAAATGGCATAATTTGAAATGTTTGGTCTAGCCATTTTAACAGAAATGCAGGGCCCATGTAGCGATTTCTACTTTTATTTTTGTCTTTTTAATCAGATAAATTGCAATTTTCACTGGAAATCTCTGGAAAATGTCATAATCCTGATATTAGTTAGTGCAATAGAGACTTGGTATTTTGATTTAACACTGTCTTCTGAATAGAACAGTACCCACAGGTACCATGTTTCTATGTTTTTATTATATCACAGGGATAGAACAGTACCCCCACATAATCTTTGATCTAAAGGCAGATAGAGGCAGAGAGAGGCAGATAGATCTTGATCTCACATATAGAGTTACTGTGTGAAAAGTTTGAGAAGTTAAAAAAATATATATTTTTAACCCTTTCAGTGCTAATCACAGCATTAACCCTGTGATTAGTTTTTTATTGGGAAGTCACATTTCAAGTACCACAAATTTAGTATTTTGAGCTGTTTGGTGTAGCCACTTGAGAATGGCTAGCGTAAACAGGGACAGGCCAAGGTCAGGGGAATCCAGAAGTCAGAGTAGTCGGTAAAACAAGCCAATGGGTCGGTACAGGCAGCTAACAAAGCGTAGTCAGGACAAGCCGAGGTCAGAAATCCAGGGAAATCAAGCAAACAAGCTGCCAAAGTCCAATACACAGTGAGTCAGAAGTTCAGCTCTGTATGGTAGACTTTTAAACGGTTTGTTATGCAGAGGGCGGGTAGAGATGGGCAGGTTGGGCAGTAATAACTGGAGTCCTTTTGGACTCCTTTATTGTAGCAAACACAGCACTTTCTTTGGGGAGCTTTTTTACTGGGGGTGGGATTCAGGAAGGGAAGTGTTTGCCACAAAGTCTTTGGAGATCTCCTGATTCCAAAGTGGGATTGGGGGGCTGGGCAAATAACATACGGAACAAAAGGCTTAGCGTAAATTCAAGGAAACGTAGATTGCAATTTTCTTGTACCGGGTCCTAGTATTTCGGTTCACCAGATAGGGCTGTATGCAATGGTCAGCCAAGTCTACTCCCCCCATAAACTTGCTGTAGTCTACAATGCACTTCGCTTTTCCAGATGCTCAGTGCTACCTCTCACTGGCACTGTACTTTCGTTGTGCATTGTAGACAGCATGTATACATCCTTCCTATCTCTCAAGCAAAGGGCAAGCAACTCATCCTGGCGGAGAGCTGAAGAGGAACCTCTACTGCTTCTGCCTCTTGCCAGGGTTTGGGGGAAACCCCTGCGATTCTTCCTCACTGCCACAGGCTAGGGTTTCAAAGCAATATAAATTTTTAAATAATTGTATACTGGTATAATAATTGTCAACCATAGCCTATATCCCTTATTTAACAAGGGAAGGATTAGATCCCAAACAATCTTGCCACTTGCACCCACAGAATCAGGGCATCCTGGTGAGTCAAGATGGCTATCCTTCTCCTGGTAAATGCGAAACGCCCATGTGTAACCAGTATAGGATTCGCACAAAGGGTCAAAAAAATTAGAAATCATTTTTTTTGATCCCCCCCAAAAAATTAAATATAGTACAAAAGTAATAAATGCCCTAATCAGGCTGATGACAGTAAGGGAAGGGTTAAATAAAATAATTTTTTTAAAACACTTTTACAAAGTTTTAAAACTTTCTTTCTTTCACAGGAGCTGCAATCAACGATTTCTCTGCCTCTCTCTCTCTCAGATCGAAGTGAGGTGAGGAGAGGGGCAGAGACAATGTGTCAGCCAGTGATTTCAGATCACTGGCTGACACATACTAACAGTGATCACAGTGACTGGCTGTCAATGTGATCACCTCCTGCAGATCTCGGTAATTGGCCACAGGGGAAGTACCTGGGTGGTACAGGGAAGTCTGTGATTGGACAGCCACAGAACATCTGGGTGTGGTTAGCATGGGAGGGATTGCAAAGGCTGCAGACAAGAGAACTATAGCTTCTGCAAGCTGGTTCTAGATGCACTCAATGAACAAACGGCATAATTAAATGCAAGTTTTTCATTTGGGGTATATCAACTAAACAGTGATTGTTATTTATGTTGTTTGTAAGCAGTGCAGTGTCCCTTTAAGATTTAACAACTGGCATTACAATCCAGATCAGTCAGAGCACATTTTGCATAGAAGAAGGAGAAAGACTATAAGGGTTATTTACAAACATGAGAATTCAAAGTGAATTTACATTTCAGAGTAGCCAAACTGAAAGCATAACTGACTTAGAGATTTTTTCCAGTTCTCCTATTTTGACCTTAAATTTGAAATTCACTTTGAATTAAGACTTTAGTAACACTGTGTTTCTTCTCCTTCTCTTACATGTTGTTCCCTCCTGCCCATTGATTATCGCTGCTTCCATAAACATGTTTGATACAAGTCATCGGTGGTCTGTATGTGGACTGTCAGATGCAGGACGCTATTTTTTTTTAAAAGAACATCCCCAAGCACCATAACCACTACATTTGGCAGGCACCGTCTCACAGTAAGTAGTCAAATCATAAAAAATAGCTGTAGTTGTTATGGTGCCTAGAGTGTTCCTTTGTCCAACAGGAGTCAAGATGGAGGTTCTCAGTTAATTTTATTTTTCCGATTTCTCACACACATACTGGTTAATTTTCTTTATGTGTAAAGAGTGCGCCATTTTTTAATTATATAAAAATGCAGATTTCAATAAAAATTTACACTTTGAAAATTAACAACCAGGAGGTGTTTCTTTCTCCTGGAACCTAAATTTAAAGGCAAGCACTTTCTCGATAAGCTGTAACATGGCTCAATGAGAAGTCTGTGATTGGATGTCCACGAACATGTCTCTGACTGGACATTCCGTGGCACAATACTAGATACTAGATCTGCAGTTTTTGCAAAATAAATTACCTAAATGTTTCTTTTTGGGTATCTCTACTAAAGTGTTGATTTTGTAATGGGTTGTTCTTTTAAATATAGGTGATTAGTAAACATAATATTAAAACTTCTGAGAAGTGAGAATTCCTGTTTAGATTATCTCATTATTAGGTATAATTCAATTTATATATACAGAACTTATCTACAAACAACTTACCTGTCGTAATATTAACACAGCAGGATTCTGAGGAGTTTCCATAACAGAAGTTATATGTTGTACCACCAGAAACATCAGATGATGATACATTATTGCCGTCTAAATCTGTAATATTCTGCTGGGTAAATCCTTCCGGCAGTCCGGTAATAGCACTTTGGTTACTGCTTGAGATGCACTGAGAAACACCTGGAGTTAAAGAATAAGCAGTTGTGTTTTGAAATAAATACGTACTCAACATTTTATAAACTATTACGTCAATCAAAAGTGAATGTATTTGTATCAAGTGCTTTTTGTAAAGTACTATAAATATTAACCACTTTAGTAAATCAAACTATTAAAGTGCAATGTTATAATAAAAATGCTTTGGATTCAAAACTTTGGGAGGACATTCTTATCTGATCTCAAATCCTTCAACATTCCGCGATGAGTATCATTTCCATTTGTTGTAGATGGGATGATTTTTGTACTAACATAATATTTTTGCAATCCTATCCATTGAGAGTAAAATGAGTAGAGTATATTTAGCTGTGGACTGCCAAATTTATAATGAGTTGAGGATAGCTAGACACCATGGGAGGTGTGTATGAAGCCACAGTCTTGCATATGGGAAGTTAAAGAAACATATCCAGATGAATGTGCCAGTCAATAATCTGAGTAAACTGCGTTGCTGAATGGCATTTTTTTTTTGGCATGGACTTTGTTTTGGAATGGGGATGACTTTCTGGTTATTTTAAGCAAGCAAATGAGATCTATAAATCTCAGTACGTTTTAAACAAATGGAAATATATAATATTTGTTTTATTTCATATTGCTGACAAACTTAGCACTCACAATGAGTTAAACTACAGTTGACAACAATGTGTCAAAATACAACAGATGTAATAAAGGTAGATAAACATTCCGGGAATCAGGGAACATAAAAGCAAAAGTGGTTATTTTCGAAAAAGCTTTGGAAGGGATTTCCTGCTAGCTCATAGGTAAGTGAGTATCAGGTATTTCACAAAGTACCTGATGTATCTGGGAGAGTTAGATATTATTCTCCTATCTTAAATATAGTTCTAAGGAATCGCTTGGAGATTGAAAGGTGCATAGTGTTGATCAAGATGTTAACCAGAAAAAACATACATTGTACATATTGCTTTCTTCATTTTTTAATTTATTCAATTAACATGTATATATATTTATGTATATTTTGACATCAATTATTGCATTACAGTGCCATGCTCATTTGCCCACTCATCACATAAATCTCTCAATTAAATCTAAAAATAATAATCTATTGATACAAAATTTAGCAGGCTTTTTTTTTATTTTATTTTTTTATCAGACACAACCAAACTTGAATCATTTTTGCAGGTCACTTATTTCGTCCTTAACTTTGAAATTCACTTTGAATTCCTGGCATTTTCCACTTTATTGAATAATAAATCGCTGTATGGCAAAGTACATTTGTAGTGAGCTATTGCATGTTAGAGTCTGTTTCTACCACTAGGTGGCTCTATGACATTGATGTAAAAAAGGCAATACTTACTATTACATAGGCCTTGTACCTGGGGGGAAAAAACAACAATAAATTAGTCAGTATAATGAGACATGTTGCTTATAATAGCAATTTAGTTTAAACATATTGTTGTGAAGATAAAGTATTGCTAAAATCAATCTAAAATAAATATTTTTGTAGTCTAAAAAAATGTTGGTAACATGGTACAGGCTTGTGAATGTTATAAAGAAATGACTTTAGTAAGTGAAAATAAATATTTCATGTTTAAGAAAACATACAATACCATTTAATAAATCACACACACACACACACACACACACACACACACACACACACACACACACACACCCCCTCCCCCCAATGGCAATATAAATTAAGATTATCCTTGTTTGGTGGCTGTCACCCTTGCTGCCCTGTTCTGTATTTGTACCCCACCTCCTCTAGACTGTAAGCTCATTTAAACAGGACCCTCATCTATCTACTGTTCCTGTGTCACTGTGTAATTGTCTCATTTATTGTAAACTTCCCACCTTTCATAATATTGTAAAGCGCTGCGGAATTAGTTGGCGCTATATAAATACCAATAGTAATAATATGGATTTAGTGCTAGCCTAATAGCTTCTCAAGATATGAATCAATTATAAGTGAAAATAAAGTGTTTGTTATTTTGTTGGCCATATTATTATATGTTGAGTTTATTTACGCAACTGATAAATGTGGAAAAATTGACACTGGAATTCAAATCGTTAGGCAAAGCTAGAAAAAAAAAAGATCTATTTTTTTTTTTTTTACTTGAATTTGTTGCCGTAAAATGTACTATTCCTTTTTCAAACTTCTGGAAATGTCAGCTTAGAGAAGACATGGCATTTGTAAATCACAACTGCCCAGGGAGTGTGTACTATTCAAGTGCTTTTAAGACAAGATAAAGAATTCCGTAGGGTATGGGATATGCACAATGCCACCATTCAATTACTGCAAGAACCAGGATTAGCTGAGTAATTTCAGCCACTTCCTAGTGTGTACACTGTAAAAGTGACAAATCCTGGAGACTCAGCAGTAAACATAGGACAATTAAAGTTGAGTTTTTTATTTTATTTTTTTTAATATATTTTTTATTTATTTATTTTATTATGTATTTCTCAGCTCCAAATTGTACTAGTTTTGTTTCAGGTCTTTCACTTTTAATCAGAACAATAATGTCATCAGAGAAAATGATCCACAGACAATGCACAGACTCCATTTAGGAAGAAAAACATTGATGTGTCAGACCTCAGGCATGTGTTGACATTATTTATTTTCCTGTCCTGTCGTTTCCATTTTGTACTTCACTTCCTGTTCTGTCATTGCTTTCCTCCTAATAATTTCTAATCTAGATCTTTAGAAGCTACACTGTAAGTCTCAAAGACACCTTCAAGCAGGAGACTAGAAGGAAAATCCCAGTGTTACACATATGGAGTGATATGTTAATTAATACTTTTTTTAGCTACATTCAAAAAATAGGCTCACTGTTGGGAGACTCGCAAACACGTGTTAAATGTTTTTTGTTTTTTTTAATGTTATTGTATTACGATCTTCATGGAGGCTTTCTTACCTGGACGGTAAAAATTGAAATTGGAGCAAAGCATCTTCAACATTGTATCTTTTAGTGCATATGGATGCTTATTAAAAACTATGTTTGTGTAATAACCGACAATGTGTTATATAGTAAAACTGTCTTGAAATTGTTAAAACTGAAGATGTTACATTTCTGTCCAGATTCTGAAGTTTGACTTAGCTAAAGTCTACTAAAATACCCTTGTCTGCAATGCGCTCTTGGAAGCATTTATGGATGTTGTTCAAGAACATATCTTCCACTCTACTTGAGCATGGCTTTGGATGGCTCAAGTTTTGTCCATGCCATGATTTTGGGAAAACTAACTGAAAACTGGTTGCTAAGCAACTAATGTCCACTTGTCACTAAAGGCTCCATCCCATAAGAGGTGGAATTGAGCCTCAAAATCAATAGGGGGCCTTATTACTGTCAACCTACCGCAGGTTCCCCCTTATTCTCAATACATGAATACCATGTGCCACTGCCGAGGGGGTGGGATATTGATTCTGAAAAAAGTAATTTGTACCATTTAGTAGAAACTTGAGCATGTCAAGCGGGATCATGAGAGAGAATTTGAATCACCTGGTTATGACCCAATATACTTTTTAAGTATTTTTTTTGTGAAGGCTGGCTTAAAAGAGATCCCACATTGTCAACCCTTCTAATGCAGACAATTTTTTAAATTTAATGGCATGTTTATTGCTGGTGCTGCAAGAGGACAAATAGTTCAGATTTTTAAAATATAGCTAAAGATTTTCAGGATTTAGCTCCAAATCATGGCCATCTGGCTGTGTTTAGACAGGCTAAAATATAAACATTATTCTGGCTCATTCAGAGTAATTATTGCAAAATCTGGACATTGTTAAATAGTGTGAACACCAGTGGGAGTTTGCAATCTGAATGCCATTGGTTTCAGGTATTCTTAACTGGGAATATTCAGGCTTTAGTGAATATAAATGCATATATAAGGGTCAGTATGTGAAATTATGTACTTATGCTTGTGCATGTGTACACTAGTGTTAGGATGATATTTTACAAACATGATGATCATAGGTCCTAGTATTGGAAGGTATAAAATTGGGCCATGTGGGCATTTTTAGTGATGCCAGTTGGACAGGTAGGCCTTCCAGGGAGTGGATATGTCTACCTATTGAAGGGGTATCCCAGCCTGGTATCATGCCTAAAGGATCATGCAGGCTACAGGCCCCCAAACTACAAGACCATGCATAGAGCACTGCTGAAGTCCTAAAGCCTACTGTATGGTGCAAGCAAGTCTAATAATGCCCTAGCACGGTGCTGCCAGGGGACTGTTCTCTGGAGTCCTCAAATGCAGTATTCTATGGGACTAAATTGGGACAGGACCCCAAAATCAAGATTGTATCCACCAAAAGCAGGACACTAGGGGCCCTGGATGGTGACAGTAAATCAACGTTCATCCTAGAGATCTTACAGTCTGCAAATTTCTGTCCTTATCTATCGCTTCAACCCCATACAGTCTTGTTCTACAACCTTCACCTTTAGATTGTATTCTTACTGTTACTAAAGTTAAGCCTTCATCTGTGGAACAAAGACTTAAAGAAAACCACATGTTGTCTAGCAAGTAATTGATCAATTTAAGCAAATTCTTAATGTTGCAGTTAAGACTTTTCTTTCAATATTACTGTTTTCAAGTTTACAGTCAAAATGAAAGCAAGATTTGTTCTAATAAGCTTCAATGATGAACCAATATTACTTAGATGGCAGACTTTATTGAGCAAACAAGCCTTTTGTAAACATTTCTGCTAATGCATTTTGCTAAGCAGAATATTCGTGCACAGTGGCACAGTCATTATTCTATAATACGTTACTGAAGAAATATGTCTTATTGTAGACCAGGCTACCTCCTGTCTTTTAGCATGAAAATAATATCCCCACTGTCAGTGCAAGAAACAGCCAAACATTCACAACCAATCAAAGTGCTATCACAAACCTCCTAAATATACAGGAGAAAACATACCAGAGTACAATCGTCTTTGCCAAACAGACCTACTATATGCGTTGCATAATAATAAATTATACAAGTGAATTTATTTATAATATTATATCAAGCAATTTTAAAATGTCTTATCATTTTATAATGTCTTATAATGCATTGACAAGTAAGTTTTAAGGCTTGGCTGGTAGTATAAGACTTGACATTGTAATCCCATATATAATATTATTTCATAAGTATACGTACAGCAGATTGGTAATGGTAAAGGATAGACTAAAAGGACCACTCTAGGCACCCAGACCACTTCAGCTTAATGAAGTGGTCTGTGTGCCTGGTCCAGCTAGGATTAACCCTTTTTTTTATAAACATAGCAGTTTCAGAGAAACTGCTATGTTTATGAATGGGTTAAGCCTTCCCCCAAAGCATCTAGCGGCTGTCTCATTGACAGCCGCTAGAGGCGCTTGCGTGATTCTCACTGTGAAAATCACAGTGAGAACACGCAAGCGTCCATAGGAAAGCATTGATAATGCTTTCCTATGCGACCGGCTGAATGCACGCGCAGCTCCTGGGGGTTAATCCAGCCTCCAGTGGCTGTCTCTTGACAGCCGCTAGAGGCGCTTGCGTGCTTCTCACTGTGAAAATCACAGTGAGAAGATGCCAGCGTCCATAGGAAAGCATTGTAAATTTAGGTGACAAAGATTGGGAAATGAATCAGACGAACCAAAAGTTGGAAATATGGTAAATATGTGTACTGCAAATTATATATATATATATATAATTTGCAGTACACTGATAAAAGCATTTTTCCACCATGTGGTTCACAGATCAAGTGAGAAAAAAAATCGGAGGAGCAGTGAAAAAATAATACGTATGCATTTATATATTAAATATGTAATATATAATTATTAAAAAAATTTTTTAAATGCTCCTCTTTTTCCCCCCTCTATTACGGCACTCTCAATTAATCTGTGAATAAAATCAACATTTGACTGTCAGGGACTGTCCCCTAAACATCAATCATCTTTTTTTTCCCATCAATCATCTTTTTTTTCCCCATCAATCATCTCTTTTTTTTGGCAGTATTCAGAATCACAAACTGAAATGAACATGCTTGTCTCTTGCGTGTTTCATTTAATTGTTGATTCAGTTACATTTCGGCTTGGATTTTGGGAACTGAAACGATCATCAGATCGGCCCAAATTCAGATGAATTACAGTTCAGAAATTACTAAATCTCTATAGTAACTGGTTATATTCAGCCGCAGTTAAATTATCATTATAATTTGCAATAAACTAATGAAGAGACCTTTATTCTGTTCTGAAAAAAAATTATTCATAATTCGGAGGCCAGGAAGGTTTTGAGGCAACAAACAGCATCAGTTAATGCCTCTTGTTTGAATACAGTACACAATACACTCTATTGACATGTCTTCAGGACAGATCTTCATTTACATGGGTCAAATCCGTCTGTGACAAAGAATCGGCTCACAAGCAATGTATCCGCTGAATGTCTAATATTTAATTCTATTAATTCCTATTTATAGAAACACTAATAAAGATTAATTTTCTCTTAAGTATGGGGTTCATTCTCTGTCCTACTGTTTCAAATGTTGCTATGTTGCCCTAAAGGTGGGGGGAATAATTTGGTATAATATGATTATGGAAAAGATACTGCTCTATGTTATTTCATAAAATATGACAAAAGTAACACCATTCAATATGGTATTTTCATGTTTAATTTGATATAAATTAAAGAGGAACCCTCTCTTAAAGGGACACCATCACTGGAATTTAAACCATAAAATAAAAGATAGAAAATAACCTGTAACTCGCATAATCCTATTTTCCATGAGAAGCACTGTTTTCTTTTAATTTATATTAAAGATTAAGCAAAATACATCATAATGCAGTTCGGACAAGGCACAGCCCATGCAAATATTACATAAGAACTATAACCATAAAGATACGTATAATAATACAAAAAACAGCACCACAGGGTGAAGGACAAGGAAAAACAAAATATGGTCCAATATCCCTCCCTAATAAACAACCATTTGGCACTGATCAATGAAAGGGAATTATTGAAACAGAGTTAAAGGGACACCATAGTCACCAGAACAACTACAGCTTAATGTAGTTGTTCTGGTGTCTATTGCATGTCACTGTGGGCTTGTTAATGTAAACACTGCCTTTACAGAGAAAAGGCAGTGTTTACATTGCTGCCTAGAAACACCTCTAGTGTTAGTCACTCAGTCGGCCACTAGAGGTGCTTCCTGTGTCAGTGCTGCCCAGTGTGCAACACTCGTGTTCAGCGTCTCTGCATGGAGGCGATGAACTTTTCCCATAGAGATGCATTGATTCAATGCATCTCTATGAGGAGATGCTGATTGGTGGAGAATGGGCGACTAAACTGTTATTTAGACCTACAGTGTCAAGAATACATGTTTGTATTCCTGAGTATGTCCATGTTTGTATTCCTGACACTATAGTGTTATTTTAAGATGAGGGCGCCCAGTTGCAGAATGAGGTGTTTATTTCTACATTTAATTGACTAGTTCACAGCTCTTTTATTAACTATGGGGATAAGTAAATATAATATGAAAAATCCTTGGAAATTAAACTTACCCTTTAAGAAACAATGAATTAATTAATCATTATTTTTTTTAAGATATCAAACAATTAAATGACACTATCAAGTAATCACTTTAGGAAAAACAGTCTCTCCCGAATAAGCAAGAAAAATGTAATATTCCTAATCTGCTCCCTACAAACACTATATTCACATAAAAAAACCAACACATTATACCCGTATTTTTCGCTCCATAAGACGCACTTTTTTTCCCCTCAAAAGTGAGGGGAAATGTCTGTGCGTCTTATGGAGCGAATGTGAAGCTTTACTTACCTGTCTTGGAGCGTGGGCCGGCTTCACAGCGCGCTCCGCGGTCCAGGAACTTCTATTTCAGGTTCCGGTTTCCGGCGGGACTGAAAGGAAGTGCACACTCAGTGTGCACATTTCCTTTCAGTCCCGCCGGAAACCGGAACCTGAAATAGAAGTTCCTGGACCGCGGAGCGCGCTGTGAAGCCGGCCCGCACTCCAAGACAGGTAAGTAATTATGGGACAAGGGGAGGGGGACACTATGGGAGAAAGGGAGGGGAGACACTAAGGGACAAGGGGAGGGGGACACTATGGGAGAAAGGGAGGGGAGACACTATGGGAGAAGGGGAGGGGAGGAGACACTATGAGACAAGGGGAGGGGAGGAGACACTATGGGACAAGGGGAGGGGGACACTATGGGAGAAAGGGAGGGGAGACACTATGGGACAAGGGGAGGGGGGGACACTATGGGACAAGGGGAGGGGGAGACACTATGGGACAAGGGCAGGGGGGGACACTATGGGAGGGAAAGTGCACTATGGGACAATGGGAGGGGGGGACACTATGGGATCAGAACACTAATGGACAAGGGGAGGAGGGGTTAAAGATCATTATGGGACAGGGGAGAAAAAAAAATATTCTGAACAAACTGTCCCATGGTAAGAAACACTATGGAACAGTTTGTTCAGAATATTTTTTTTCTTCTGGGTTTCCTCCTCTAAAAACTAGGTGCGTCTTATGGTGAGGTGCGTCTTATGGAGCGAAAAATACGGTAAATAAATCGAACATAGTGTTTTAAGCTATAATAATTTTTTTTTACTATTTTAGCAGATAATGGACCCCTATATCCTACTAACCAAAACAGCTGACTACCACTATGAGTTCTGTCAGTTCAAACAATGCAATGTATGTTTATTGATCGCATCTTTAACCCTTTGATCTATAAAAGCCTGTAAATGCTCTCCTTGATGTGTCTGTGACCCGTAATTTCTTACATCGACTGCTCTAACACAGAATTAAATTGTAGACTGTTTCACTACCAGTGTATATTCACAGTCTAGAAAGGTCAAATTAGGTGGGGAAGAAACATTTTGAGAATTCAAATTTACTAAAAAAATACAATATGATATTAAAAAAAAAAAGTATTTAGGGAGAAAGGGTGTTCCACATTCTCCAGGAGCTAATGTTTGGATAAACATTTCTTACCTTTTAGATCTCTATTTAGAAATATTTTATCAGGGAGAACATACATTGAGGTTTACTTTGTTTTTTCAACAGTCTACTAAAATACTTTTCATGTCCCTAAAATGTTCTATTTTATCTGTTCACAATATAATATGAAGGCTAAATAAGAAATCTTATGTATTTTTCCTACACTTGAGAAAGCTTGATAAAGGCAAGAACTTAATACATAAAGCAAGCTCCACTTCCATTGTCAAGACTGTCATAAGCGTGGGGAAAATACATAAGACAATGTTGTCCCTATTTTGTCTTATATTTTAAAGAGAAATAGATTAGAAATAAAGAAGAGAAGAACAAATTGTGAAAGAGAAAGAGAAGAAGAAGCGATAGGAGAAAGGCAAGTTTGAGGAGACAAAGCCATTTTAATTGTACTAAATTTACTGACTTCAGTGGGCCTCCCAACTGTCTAGGTTTTGGCAGAACACTCCCTACTTAAGGGTGCTATCCTGCTATCTACACTTTATTTCGTGGTTTCCCATCAGGGCCGGTGCAACTGCTAAGTGGATTAAGCAGCCACCTAGGATGCTCCAGCCTTGGGGACAAAATCTCTAGGTGATGCACACAGCATTCCCCTCCTGTCAGTCGCTGCACATAGCGTGGCCGAGCTACAGACCAGGGTAGAGGAGCTTCAGTTTCCCCTACCCAGTCACTGAGAGCACTGAACAGCTACCTGTCAGACCGGGTAGACGTCACAGGAGCTCCTCTAAGGTCCAAGGCCATGCTATAAGAAGGAAAGAGGTGAGCTAGCATGGGGCTGAGCATCAATATGGGGTGGGAGGCAGTGGAGGAGATGCATACAGAGGGCTGAGGGTGGCAAATAGGCACTCAGAAGGACTGGGAAGGACAAAGAGACACAGAGAGGGGCTTGTGGAGACAAAGAGACACACACAGCTGGGGGTTGGGGGGAAGCTTAAAGGGTAAGTTTAATCTCCAAGGATTTTTCATATTATATTTACTTATCCCCATGGTTAATAATAGAGGTGTGAACTAGTCAATTAAATGTAGAAATAAACACCTCATTATTCTGCAACTGGGCGCCCTCATCTTAAAATAACACTATAGTGTCAGGGGCTGGGGGAAAATAGGCTAAGAAGAGAATGAGACACAAAAAGGGGCTGCGGGGAAGAGACACAAAGAGGAGCTGTGTTTTTTGATGCGTGGGGTGCAAGTCACTGTTCTGGTCTAGGGTGTAAAATAGTCTTGCACTAGCCCTGTGTCTTGGGAACACCAGGGAACTGTTTCCTGAAAGTCTATCCACTGCACTCAGAGCACTAGGACCATGTAGACAGCATTGATGGGCTGACCTGCATGATTGACATTCAGCTTAGCATGCCTTCACACCAGGCTGACCTGCCTATTCTTTTGGGAGACCAAAAGAACAAGTCACACTTCACGGGACACTGATGTTGGGGGTAACAAGTAGCATTAACCTTAACCTGTGAGTCTAAGACATAGCTGGTAGAGCTCTAGTTGCTGAGCTATCTCACTAGCACAATCCAGTGTCCACATTTATAACATATACAAGATATGTTACTGAGCACATGCAATACAAAGCCACTAATAGATTTACCCTCTAAAACGCATGGTTATTGTAAAATAATTTCAAGATTTTAAGATTTATTCACGTAACACTAAATTGCTAAACACTAAACCCGTAGGGTGAAAGATAACTACGTATGAGTTGTTCTAAGCAAGACTGAAATTTGCCTTAAATGAAACAAAAGGTTGAATACCAATGATTACAACCTATTCTACAAGTCATCAGACAAGATCTTCCACATTCATACAAGTCGTGTTTAAGAGCAAAAATTCAAAGGAATCGATTACCGTGTTTCAGGTCGATTTGTTGTTTTTTTTTTTAGATCTTCCTGGAACTAGTCTTTCTTTCAACGAAAATAGAAAACAACATTCCTACCTCTCCCCTTATGTCCCCTCCCCCCAATAAACAACAAGAAATTACAAAAAGCTGTCACCCCTTTTGCAAAATTTTATCTAAAATATCAATTAGGAGTAAAGTATAATTGTAGATATTTGTTTTACCAAAATATTGCAAGAACTCTAATACACACAGGCTGACAGGTAACAAATTATTCCTACTCTTTTTTTACATTTGTACTAGCATCACTTTATAGTAAAGTGGGCAGGGGTACCACCAACATATCAAAGTGGATGGCGAGGCTGACTAACAACCCCCCACCACTCCACCAAGGCAGACCATCTATGCAGAGCAGCTAGAGCGCTTTGTGCATGGTTCTAGTGCCAAGTCCCCTCATGCTTCCTGAAACCTGCCTGACAGATTGAACTGTGGGTAGGACCCCAAACTATGTGACTGTTGTCACCTATTTTAAAAAATTATACATGTACATGTTTATTCAGGTCAAATATTAGACCATAAATCTAAATAAGGAAAGATAAACTCTCCAAGTCAGCTATGTTTTTAGTTGAGCTCCTTTGGCCTAAAGTTTGAAATTCCCTTTTAACTTGCTTTGAATTCCTGGCTATTGACACTTTATAACGTGCAAGTGAACAGTGGTGATTCTCATAATTTGGGCATATACAGAGTTATATTTAACGTGAGAATTCAAAGTGAATTTAAGGTGAATTTCAAATTGAAAGTCAAAATATCCAATCTGGAACAAATATCTAAGTTCGCTATGCTGTCAGTTTCCCAAACCAGTTAAAATTGAAAAAGCTCAATACAACAAAGCAATTTCTTTTTCACTAAGCAAAACCCACCCACCCTGGTTACTTCTAATGTCATAACATGCTCTTCCAGCTGTTTGACATCCAGGGCCTGACTGGGGAAAAAATTCGGCCCGGGCATTTTTTATTCACAGCAGCCCACTGAAAAGGGGGTGGGGCCAGATGGGGTGTGTTTTGTCATCCCCAATGGAAGTGAGCATGTTGGTTCAATGCTCTTCCAGGGCATGAGAAAAGGGCCCTGTATTTGTTCTTCACAGCGCAAGCAAATTTAATAACATGCTTGCGTTGTGTTTGCTTGAAACTGGTCTCAGGGGTTTCCATAATTGGGATACTCACTGAATCCCATTTATGGAGACACTATGTGTTTGCTTAAATGGAATCTAGTGTGTGCATAGGGGATCCAGAGTGTGTAGGTCAGAAATGTAGCATGTGTGTAGCTGGTGCAGAGTCTGTGTGTAGGGGATCTAGTGTGTGTTTGAAGGACTCAAGAGTGCGTATAGGAGATCTAGTGAGTGTGTGTGTGAGTGGTGCAGCGTGTTTGGGGGCTGCTGTGTGTGTGTGGGGTGTAGTGCGCATTTGTGAGGAGTATAGTGTGTGTGGGAGGGTGCTGTGTGTGTGGGAGGGTGCTCTGTGTGTGTGTGTGAGGGCGCTGTGTGTGAGGGTGCTGTTTGTGTGGGTGCTGTGCAAGGGTGATGTGTGTGTGTTAGGGTGTGTGTGCGCATTTGTGAGGAGTATAGTGTGTGAGTGAGGGTGATGTGTGTGTGTTAGGGTGATGTGTGTGTTAGGGTGATGTGTGTGTTAGGGTGCTGTGTGTGTTAGGGTGCTGGGTGAGTGTTAGGGTGCTGTGTATGTGTTAGGGTGCTGGGTGAGTATTAGGATGCTGGATGAGCATTAGGGTGCTGGGTGAGCGTTAGGGTGCTGGGTGAGTGTTAGGGTGCTGTGTGAGTGTTAGGGTGCTGGGTGAGTGTTAGGGTGCTGGGTGATGTGTTAGGGTGCTGTGTGTGTTACCCAGGTGCTGGGTGAGGTGTTACGATTGCTGTGTGGTGGGGTGCTGTGTGTGTGTTAGGGTGTGGATGAGTGTTAGGTTACTGGGTGAGTGTTAGGGTGCTGGGTATGTGTTAGGGTGCTGGGTGAGTGTTAGGGTGCTGGGTATGTGCTAGGGTGCTGGGTGAGTGTTAGGGTGCTGTGTATGTGTTAGGGTGCTGGGTGAGTGTTAGGGTGCTGTGTATGTGTTAGGGTGCTGGGTGAGTGTTAGGGTGCTGTGTGTGTGTTAGGGTGCTGGGTGAGTGTTAGGGTGCTGAGTATGTGTTAGGGTGCTGGGTGAGTGTTAGGGTGCTGTGTGTGTGTTAGGGTGCTGGGTGAGTGTTAGGGTGCTGTGTATGTGTTAGGGTGCTGGGTGAGCGTTAGGGTGCTGTGTATGTGTTAGGGTGCTGTGTGAGCGTTAGGGTGCTGGGTGAGCGTTAGGGTGCTGTGTATGTGTTGGGGTGCTGGGTGAGTGTTAGGGGTGCTGTGTGTGTATGTGTTAGGGTGCTGGGTGGCGTTAGGATGCTGGGTGAGCGTTAGGGGGAGCTGTGTGAGAGTTAGGGTGCTGGGTGAGTGTTGGGGGTGCTGTGTATGTGTTAAGGTGCTGGGTGGAGTGTTAGGGTTACTGGGTATGTGTTAGGGTGCTGGGTGAGTGTTAGGGGTGCACAGGTGAGTGTGGGGTGCTGGGTATGTGTTAGGAGGTGCTGGGTGAGTGTTAGGGTGCTGTGTGAGTGTTAGGATGCTGGGTATGTGTTAGGGTGCTGGGTGAGTGTTAGGGTGCTGGGTGAGGGTGATGTGTGAGTGTATTAGGGTGCTGGGTGAGGGTGATGTGTGTGTTTGCAAGGATTGTGTATTGGGGGAGGAAGGTAAATGACAATATTGATTTTTTTTTTTTTTTATTATTATAAAAATAAATACATTATACCCCCACTCCATTCATACCGGTAGCCTGGAAGAGGAGGGGGGTCGTGCTGCCTCCATCCATCCCTGGTGGTCCTCGTGGTAAGTGAACTCTAACCCTTTGGGGCTAGAGTTCACTCTTGCGAGACCCGGCCGGTTGCCATGGCAACGGTCCGGATCTCGCAAGAGAAACCCGGCGGAGCTGCAAGTTATCGCTCCGCTGGGTCCTCTCTCCAGCTTGGCTGTCTCCCTCCCTTTCTCCCCCGCCTGCGGCCGCATTTTAGAGCATGTAGGCCGGTGAGGGAGATCCTTGATCTCCCCATCGGCCCTTCATAGAACACAGCGGGGCCGGCACTCGGATAGCGCCGGCTCTGCATGAACCGGCTGGATCTACCCGGCCTCGGCCTGTGGCCATCGCGGCCCACCGGGCATTTCCCCGGTTTGCCCGATGGCCAGTCCGGGCCTGTTGACATCACAGTCAATCACCTCCTCATTCACTTTACATGTTACCAGTTAGTGCAATTATACTATTAACTCTCTCTACCATCACTTCCAAATTCTCCCTGCTACCTCTTGTCTCATTTCCCCACTTTCACCTTTAGATTGCAAGCTCACAGGCTATCTAGCAAAGTACTCTGTATAAACGTTTTGATGATCTCCGCTCACGGGCAGGGCCCTCTTTACCTTTTGTATTGGTCTGTTTACATTGTACTTTCTTTTTCCCAATTGTACAGTAAATATGTTGGCGCTTTATAAATGCCAGTAATAAATAAATAAATAAAATTGTAAGTTGTTCAAAAATCTTGGGAATTTATATGGTGTTGGTCCATGTTGTATATCATTCTCCACTTTTCTGGAAATGATTTTCTAAGCCTAGATGCTGAAATGTTGTTGCAAGGATGTGCAACCACGATGCAGGATAACTGGGTTTGGCTTGCAGTCAGCATTTTTAATTTAAAGAGATGCCCAATTGTATTAGAGATGAGATGGCTCGTCAAAACCTTTCACATCGATCACCAAAAACTATCTCTGCACGGACTATGTCCAGAACAGTACAGTCATTGTGAAACAGTAAAACCACTTCCTCAAACTTTCCACAAAGCTGGAGTTAACGATTCATCTAGAATATCTCTGTAGAATATTCTTTATTGGAACTAAGAGGTATAGCCCAAACCATGAAAAGCTGTCAGAGACAACTCTCTTTCATCTACCAAACAGTAATTTTGGCTACATGCTGTCCTGTATGAAGGGTTCTTGGCATTTTATATTTCCGAAATCAATCATCAGATTACCAGGTGGTAAGGTATAATTCATGCTTATAGTATATCATACTTTTATTTATTTTTGGTATATGGTACCACTTGCATTATGTAGAGAATATGGAACATTAAAACCTAATTATTATGATAACCACATGTTTAACCAGTGGCTAACAATTATTTTCATAAGGCATAGAGTCAAATCCCTCTTTTGAGAACTTATTTTAAAGAAAAGCGGCACCTTTAGGGGAAATAGCTTGAGAAAACAGCTAGTATTAGAATGTATAAAAATGTATTATACATTTTAATACCAGGTGTCTTCTCCAGCTATTTCACTTTTAAAGGTGCAGCTTTTCTTTAAAATACTTTACCTTGGATAAGGATTTATCTCACTCATTGAACTTATATTTTGTATAGCGCCATTTTTTACTTGATTGTATATTTTAGTATTTTATTCTGTAAAGCCCTATTTCAGGTTAGGCTACTTTTTTATAATGTCACTTTTTAAATATCTAGAGAATATGAAACGTGGTTTTGATGATATGAATAGTCCGGAAAATGACAATGCCAACATTTCCAATAATGATGATTATAGAAGTAACATTTAAAGATTTGTAAAAACTCTTAGAAATAGAAATTGGAAATAGCCACCTTAAAGAGAAAAACACTCCAAGAGGTTTAAGATTTTCTAAAACTTCCACATTTGAAAATGAAGAAGCGCACCTTTTTTTTTTAGACAGTAGACATGTGAATATTATCTTTAAAATAATAATGAAAATAAAAGTATATTAGTATCGTTGCTTAAGGATTCAGTATATTAATAAGATGTGTTCCTGTTATTTTTTTGCATGAAAAGCAGATGAAACCAAAATAGAGCTTTTTGGCAATAAAAAATAGTGTTTTTTTGTACACGGAGTTTTAGCCACCTGGGAACGTACCTCATGCACATGGTTAAATATAGTGGTGGCTCTTTAATGTTTTGGGACTGTTTTTCTACCAGAGGACCTAGACATTTTTTTTAGGATACATGGCATCAAGTACTTTATCAAATATCAACAGATTAAATGAACACCTGATTGTCTCTATCAGAAAGCTTAAAATGGGTCATAGTTGGATCTTACAACAGGACAATGATCCAAAACATACATCAAAATCAAGGTCCTGTCAAGGCCATCCAAGTCCCATGACTTGAACCCTTATAGAAATCCCATGGGGTGAACTGAAGAGGAAAGTCCACCAGCTTTGACCTCAAGATTTCGTATGGAGCAATGGTCTCAGATGCCTTGCCATGCAGTCTCCAACCTAATCAGGCACTATATGAGAAGATTCAGAGCTGTTATCTTTGCAAAGGGAGGTAAAACAAAGTAGTGACTAATAGGGTGCCAATAATTGTGCCAGATATATTTATTTATCCATTTTTTTTATAAACCTGTGTTGGTTTCTCAATTGTTTGATACATGAGAGGAGAGTATTTGTAGAAACATAGAATGTGACGGCAGATAAGAGCCATTTGGCCCATCTAGTCTGCCCAATTTCCTAAATACTTTCATTAGTCCCTGGCCTTATCTTATAGTTAGGATAGCCTTATGCCTATCCCACGCATGCTTAAACTCCCTCAATGTGTTAACCTCTACCACTTCAGCTGGAAGGCAATTCCATGCATCCACTACCCTCTCAGTAAAGTAATACTTCCTGATATTTATGTGCATTTTTGAACAAAAGATCAAAAGGTTACACAATAAAGACATGTTTTACAGCTTTCACAGCTCATATTAACCAAGGGTGCCAATATTAGTGGAGTGCACTGTATTGACTTTGCGGTAATGGCATTTGGTTTTTTTTAAAAAAACAACCTTAAATTAATTTAAATAGGTATATAGGATGCTTCAGGCATCAGTAACCAGCAATAAGAGCATATTGCTAAGTATGTGGTTTAAAGCAGCACTCCAAGCAGCATAGCTACGACAGTGCACTGTAGTGCTTATGGTGCCAGAAGTCCCCACTCCCTCATTGTACATAGTGATTAGACCTTTAGAAGGTCCTTTTATTGGGAAACAGGATGGTTACAAGGGAATTTCAGAAAACACTAATCTAAATTCAAATCTCCTCAGGAAGTTAGTACAGCAAAACTAGGAGGGAAATAAGAAAAACATGTCAAAATCTAGGCTGTGGCATTTTAGTATTTTTTTTTTTAACTTCCTTCTAATTAAATACATTTAATCACAAGGAAAACATTAATTTGTCAAGAGTGAATAGTAGTTTCCTTCATCTAGAAGTCAGCAATGTTAAATAATCATTAAAAAAACAAAACATTTTTAGATAAAAACTAAGGAAATCAATTTAGACATTAAAGGACCACTATAGTGCCAGGAAAACATACTTGTTTTCCTGGCACTATAGTGCCCTGGGGGTGCCCCCACCCTCAGAGTCCCCCTCCTGCCGGGCTCTAGGGTGAGGAAGGGGTTAAACTTACCTCTTTCTCCAGCGCCGGACGGGGAGCTCTCCGCCTCCTCCGCGGCAAGAGCGCGCGCATTCAGCCAGTCCATAGGAAAGCATTCACAATGCTTTCCTATGGACGCTGGCGTCTTCTCACTGTGATTTTCACAGGGAAAACATTACTGCCTAATGCCACCTCTAGTGACTGTCATTTGGACAGCCGCTAGAGGAACTTTCTTGGTCGGTTTTTGCAGGACCAAAGTTCAGTGTCTCCACACTGTTTATATTACTAATGTTCCTCTAAGACAGTGGTTCCCAACCCAGTTCTCAAGTACCCCTACCAGTCCAGGATTTAGGGATTACCCTGTTGTGTCTAAAGTGTTTTTTGTTTTTTTTCCAAAAACACCTTAGACACAATTGAGTAAATCCTGCACTGTTTTGGGGGTTACCTGAGGACTGAGTTTAGAACCACGGCTCTAAAAGAAAATGTATAAAAGTGTTAAATTGCATTGCTACTAAACCCAGAAATGTACTGTAATGCAACTTAAATTTTTATCAACATATAAAGGATTATTTTTATTTAATTTTTTCAGATATGAAGAAGTTATTTTTGTTTATCAAAAGTTGTACAGAACTGGGGAAAATGCTGTCAATATGAAATAATAATAAAAACAAAGAAAACGTTACCTGCGCTCTGGCCTAAATCCCCATGTGCGTTTAAACAAAAATGGAGGCTCTTTGGGTTTATTCTAATGGCCATTTGAATATGTAAGCTCACCTGCCACGTCAAGGCAAGCCTCAATAGGTGAGTTCCTACACTAGCCATTAGATATGCCGATATCAGCCATGAGTCTCCAATGAGACAGGAAGGGGTATTTTATAAACCCTTTAACATTTAACCCTTTATAGGGCTTCTGCACATACAATAAACTTTGCTGATATCAGACAAAGTGAGACAGAAAGGGGTGTTTTATAAACCCTTTAACATTTAACCCTTTATAGGGCTTCTACACATTCAATAAACTTTGCTGGTATTTGTGTTTGTATATGAAATAATAATAATGATAACTAAAAATCCTCTGGAGAATACTTTGATTCTAATAGTTTGCCTATTGGTGCTACCTCTTTTGTACCTATCTCTTTCCTCCATCCTTTTCCTTTTTTGCTTTACCATCTGCCTTAGCCCATGTCTTTCCCGTTTTGTTTATTTTCAATCAGAAGTGCAATGTATCATTCTCTCCTTTATTTTATTTTTATTTTTTATTTGCAATGTATTTCTTTTTTTATTGTACTGATCTTATTCCCATTACCTATTGTGTTGTATAAATATTTATGTTGCACAACAAAAAACAACAACAGTCAATTACTGCCTAGCAAAAACCTCAAAAGGGAAACTGTTCTGACAAAACATATATATAACATCAACATGATGCCCAGATTCGTCAAAACTTCTTGGGAGACATCCACATGGTAAGTTTATTTATGTAACCATCCATTTGTCATATTGAAAATAGTAATTTAGACAGGGATAGTGTATCAGATCTCCCATCATTCCAAATAACTAGGGAGAGTTGCTTTCATTGTCGAGTTGTGGCTGGAAGAGTGGTCAGGGGTACATTTCTCGGGACATTTTAAGTGATTTCATGACCTGCTGATGACAAATTATGTAACTGTAATGTAATTTAGAGCCAAGTATCTTAATTACACAGAAACATCTTAAAGGACCACTATAGTGCCAGGAAAACATACTCGTTTTCCTGGCACTATAGTGCCCTGAGGGTGCCCCCACCCTCATGGCCTCCATCCCGCAAGGCTCTAAGGGGAAGAAGGGGTTAATCCCTTAGCTTTTTTCCAGCGCTGGGCTCCCTCGGCACTGGGACTCTCCTCCCTCTTCTTCCTTCATCGGCTGAATGCGCATGTGCGGCAAGAGCCGCGCGCGCATTCAGCTAGTCTCATAGGAAAGCATTCTCAATCACAGTGAGAAGTGCGGAAGCGCCTCTAGCAGCTGTCAATGAGACAGCCACTAGAGGCTGGCTTAACCCTAAAGTAAACATAGCAGTTTCTCTGAAACTGCTATGTTTACAGCAAAAAGGGTTAAACCTAGCTGGACCTGGCACCCAGACCACTTCATTAAGCTGAAGTGGTCTGGGTGCCTATAGTGGTCCTTTAAGCATTTATTTTGCAGTTAAAAAACATGTTACTGTGAGTTTTATGGGTGCAAAACTCTGTTATACACTCAGAAACCACAGAAATATGATGCTCCTATGACAGAGGGACAGTACAAATAAAAGCAGGAACTCAAGTATTTGGGTCCAAAACAGGGATTTCCATTCCTAAATAATGATACATAAAATCTAACGTTCCCTTCAAATCAAAACCCATTTTTCTAGCTGTTAGCAAAAACATGAGCTTTTTTTTTTTCCATTAATTTGATTGATGATTTTTTAACATTTTAAAAAGCCTTGTTCTGTGACCGGACAATAGGCTTACTGTTTTATTCACTAACTAGACATCACTCTTGTTCCAACTGTACTAAAAACCCTGATTCTGCACAGGCAGTAGAGCAAGAAAGCTCTACTATGGAATGTTTACACTATTTGTGAAGGTCATTCTTTGGAAGATATCAGATTCACACACAGTGTAATCAGTCGCACCTTTTGAACTTTCATTCCTTGTCCACCAGCAAACACACCCGTATGTGAAAGCTGGTCAGCAATGCAGGTGTTCGCAGTCACAGATCTGCATATGGATGAGCTTCTAATCTTGTTCCTCAGAAAACAACCTACCTTTTAATGGAAGTTTTTACCTGAGTGCAGGTGTACTTGTGTAGCTCAACAGGTAAACTCGGTTCACCTGTAAAAACATGCTCAGTAAAATGATTTCAATAGAAGATTCTCTTTTCTAAACTCTCTTCCTATTTTATGGATTTAGACATCATATTACACTTTTAATGAGGGTTGTATACAATTCACATTCAGCAATTTGAATGCAGCCGTGCAATCTACTTTACCATCATGGTCTCTCAAAAATAGCAAGCCATATTTGCATTATTTAAACACAAGATAAGCGTGGTTTTGAGCCAAATGCTGATGATCTCAGCCAATCCAATGATTTCCCATAGGAAAGCAATAGAAGGCTATTACTCATGTGTGGAACAAATTTGCAGCCTTCATTGTTGTGATTGTTTTTATTGAATATTGGTCTCTGAGGAAGTCCCATTAGAGGGCGAAATGCGTAAGACCAAAATGTATTTTTATTTGCTATTTTAAAGTTGTCACCAATAAACCTCTTTTCTACTCATCTACCTGTCGGAGTCCTGCATGGTTCCTGATATTGGGTGATACCTGATCCTAAGAGGGAGACACTAGCCCCCCAAAACACCAGGGGAGTGCATTTAACTCCAAAATCCTGTGAGTGCAATCTTTAGCAGGGATTATTATATATCCATCAACTGTATTATGCTATGTTCTGTTTTTATTCTCCACTCCTTCAAAAAATCATTAAAAACCCACTTCTTCATAAAAGCGTATCAATTAAACTGTTAATAGCTCCTGACTGATTCCTCTTCTGCAACTGTCACTAGTCTAATACTATCCTTACCTTTTTGTGTCATTTTACCCCATTCCCAACAGTATGTAAGCTCATTGAGCAGGGCCCTCAACCCCTCTGTTCCTGTGTGTCCAACTTGTCTGGTTACAACTACATGTCTGTTCGTCCACCCATTGTAAAGCGCTGCAGAATTTGATGGCGCAACAGTTGCAAGAAAAAGTATGTGAACCCTTTGGAATTATATGGATTCCTGCACAAATTGGTCATAAAATGTGATCTGATCATCATCTAAGTCACAACAATAGACAATCACAGTCTGCTTAAACTAATAACACACAAAGAATGAAATGCTGCCATGTTTTTATTGAACACACCATGTAAACATTCACAGTGCAGGTGGAAAAAGTATGTGAACCCCTAGACTAATGACATCTCCAAGAGCTAATTGGAGTGAGATGTCAGCCAACTGGAGTCCAATCAATGAGATGAGATTGGAGGTGTTGGTTACAGCTGCCCTGCCCTATAAAAAACACACACCAGTTCTGGGTTTGCTTTTCACAAGAAGCATTGCCTGATGTGAATGATGCCTCGCACAAAAGAGCTCTCAGAAGACCTACGATTAAGAATTGTTGACTTGCATAAAGCTGTAAAGGGTTATAAAAGTATCTCCAAAAGCCTTGCTGTTCATCAGTCCACGGTAAGACAAATTGTCTATAAATGGAGAAAGCTCAGCACTGCTGCTACTCTCCCTAGGAGTGGCCGTCCTGTAAAGATGACTGCAAAAGCTCAGGGCAGACTGCTCAATGAGGTGAAGAAGAATCCTAGAGTGTCAGCTAAAGACTTACAAAAGTCACTGGCAAATGCTAACATCCCTGTTAGCGAATCTAAAATACGTAAAACACTAAACAAGAATGGATTTCATGGGAGGATACCACAGAGGAAGCCACTGCTGTCCAAACAAAACATTGCTGCACTTTTACAGTTTGCACAAGAGCACCTGGATGTTCCACAGCAGTACTGGCAAAATATTCTGTGGACAGATGAAACCAAAGTTGAGTTGTTTGGAAGAAACACACAACACTATGTGGGGCGAAAAAAAGGCACCGCACACCAACATCAAAACCTCATCCCAACTGTGAAGTATGGTGGTGGGGGCATCATGCTTTGGGGCTGCTTTGCTGCGTCAGGGCCTGGACGGATTGCTATCATCGAAGGAAAAATGAATTCCCAAGTTTATCAAGACATTTTGCAGGAGAACCTAAGGCCATCTGTCTACCAGCTAAAGCTCAACAGAAGATGGGTGTTGCAACAGGACAATGACCCAAAGCATAGAAGTAAATCAACAACAGAATGGCTTAACCCCTTAAGGACCAAACTTCTGGAATAAAAGGGAATCATGACATGTCACACATATCCTTACGGGGTTAACCCCTTAAGGACACATGACATGTGTGACATGTCATGATTCCCTTTTATTCCAGAAGTTTGGTCCTTAAGGGGTTAAACAGAAGAAAATACGCCTTCTGAAGTGGCCCAGTCAGAGTCCTGACCTCAACCCGATTGAGATGCTGTGGCATGACCTCAAGAAAGCGATTCACACCAGACATCCCAAGAATATTGCTGAACTGAAACAGTTCTGTAAAGAGGAATGGTCAAAAATTACTCCTGACCGTTGTGCACGTCTGATCTGCAACTGCAGGAAACGTTTGGTTGAAGTTATTGCTGCCAAAGGAGGTTCAACCAGTTATTAAATCCAAGAGTTCACATACTTTTTCCACCTGCACTATGAATGTTTACATGGTGTGTTCAATAAAAACATGGCAACATTTCATTCTTTGTGTGTTATTAGTTTAAGCAGACTGTGATTGTCTAATGTTGTGACTTAGATGATGATCAGATCACATTTTATGACCAATTTGTGCAGACATCCATATCATTCCAAAGGGTTCACATACTTTTTCTTGAAACTGTATATAAATATCATAATAATAATAATAATAATAATAATAATAATAATAATTTTAAGTTTAGCAGCTGTAGCCCATGTGTATTATATGTGTTGGCTTATTCTCATCTATGTATGCTTTCTGTAAGCTGACTGCCAGTTGTTAAGGACAGAGCTTATAACAATGATCGACAGGAAGTCAAGATGGAGGCGCCCAGTTGCAGGATCAAGAGGTGTGAATTTCTAGATATAATTGTATTATTCAGACCTCACAAAACACATATTTGTTAAGTGAAGGGATACATAAGAATAATAGTATACGTACTGAGCAGTGACAGCTCCCTTTTTATAACAGGATGTGATCTGAGCTCATTTAGAGAGTGTCTGCTTGAAGGTAGTTACGCATTGAGGAAAACTAATATATTGATTTAACAAGCACCTTTATATAACAACAGTAGAAAGTGGTTTAACTTTTCTATAATGTGATATTGGTGCTACTGTATGCACTGGTTCTCCAGTTTGAATATCTGTCAATCACCTCTACATTTTCATTGGTTGCTCATACAGAGTTATGTTTGATGGTTCTTAACCCCTTAAGGACCAAATTTCTGGAATAAAAGGGAATCATGACATGTCACACATGTCATGTGTCCTTAAGGGGTTAATGTTAAATGTATTTCTGTTTTGTCAATGGCTAATGCCAACGACTATTTAACGCGTGTTATCGAAAAGCAATTCCTCTAACTGAAATCTAACTTGCTAGACAGATGTAATCTTCTCCCTGCTAATAAAATCCAAGCCTTTGTATGAGTCAGTCCCTGAAAACACACAATTAATAAATAACAGACAAACTGACCAAAAAGGACTGAGACCAATATCAAGATGGCAACATGTATTATGTCTGATGTTACAACATGAAGTCTTTTGAGAAAGACTGCAACCTTGCATCAGGTCCCTCATGAACACAGAAAGTTTGGGATTACAATAAACGTCTATTTATACAATGCGAATTCAAGAGCTTCTATTTAGTTTCGTAAATAGTTTACCTTAAAACAATACAGCTATTGTGACAAAAATAGGTGTAAAAGAGGAAGAGAGGTGGAACTGTTACAGTCAAGTCACGAACAAGTATTGCCGTTACACCAGAGGGGCACTATTTACCCATTCGGTAAGGGAAAATGGTTTTATTTTATTTTTTTAACTATCCTTTTAAAACAAATTTTCGATCTCAATACTAGACTCGATATATTGTATGAACATTCATAATTTCCGATTACCATGTAAAAAAATACTTTTTTTGCAGTCTTCCTATTTCGTTCTTCACTTACGATGTTAAATAATTATTGTCACAATTGGTTTGGAAATGAAACATTCACATTTTTCTCCAAAACAACCAAACACAAAAACGCAAGAAAACACCCTAATCATCTCTAATAATAAACTGTAAATTAGCGCCAAATTACCAGCTATAATTGTAGAAATTGAGACATTAGATTAAAATAATTTTTATCATGGAAGTTACCCTTCCACGCTAACCACACATTTAACAAATACAAAGGTTCTTTTATTTATTATATACATAGATAATTATTTTTACTTATATTTACTTTGTCACACATTTTGACATTGACACAAGACAAATACAAAGGAACAAATAATAATTTAATTCATATGGGTGAATTTAATAAAGTTGCAATTATAAGTGAAATTGATTGAATTTCAAATTTTAGGCCAGACTAGCCAAACTGAAGGAACAGCTGATTTAGAGATTTTTTATCCAGTTTTGCTATGGTGACCTTAAACTTGAAATTCACTGTGAATTCTCATTTTAATAAATAACCCTGTTAGTATGGCAGAAGGGTGAACTTTATAATAAATTGGTGATCATTCCGTGCATTTAGTACATTGGATTTGTTCACTAATCACTGAATTGTATGAACTAAAAAACTAATTGTAAAAACTATGCAAAAATACAGCTGTGCTTATATCTAAGTTAGATAATTGGTCAGGATATGCTATCATTGCTTAACTGTGCTAGTTTGATTTTTAATTTACAGAAATATGGCATTTACATAGAAACATAGAATGTGACGGCAGATAAGAACCATTCGGCCCATCTAGTCTGCCCAATTTTCTAAATACTTTCATTAGTCCTTGGCATTTTCTTATATCTAGGAAAGCCTTATGCTTATCCCACGCATGCTTAAACTCCTTCACTGTGTTAACCTCTACCACTTCAACTGGAAGGCTATTCCATGCATCCACTACCTTCTCAGTAAAGTAATACTTCCTGATATTATTTTTAAACCTTTGCCCCTCTAATTTAAGACTATGTCCTCTTGTTGTGGAAGTTTTTCTTCTTTTAAATATAGTCTCCTCCTTTACAGTGTTGATTCCCTTTATGTATTTAAATGCTTTTATCACATCCCCCCGTCTCGTCTTTCCTCCAAGCTATATGTGTTAAGATCCTTTTTTTTGATAGTTACACTTCTGAAGAAGAAAAAAAAGAAGTCGAGGATCTATGGGTTCTGATATGTCCCTACTTTCTTATATCTGTTATTTTGAGTTGTCTATGTAGAACCGTATGCATACAGCTATTCCATGGCTCATATTGAATTTGCAGACAATGAGCAGTTATTTACTTTTTATTTAGTTGGATTCATTTTAATGTGTAATATATATAATTGCTTATATTTCAGAAAGTGGACATCATCTGCTGCATCATTTATACGTGGGTCCAGCTCCATAAACTACAATACTCTGCACATGCTGCTGTATGTGACACTAAAGTAATAAATTTGTTTGTTTGCTTAATTAGTAAACAACGCTTACGCAAAGAACCTATATATCACACGTTTTTTACTTAGTGCATAGCTTAAATGGAAATGGGTAACAATGTTACTTAAATGGAAATTCTACGCAGCTACACATGTTAAGGGGGTGCTACAAGCACAATAAACAATACTGCTCATTGTCGTGGTTTTGGGGCAAACAGTCTTTGGGCGCTTTCTCTCCAGTTTTTGTCATAACATTTTATAATTTTTAAATAGTTTTGCATGGGGCAATTTGCATTTTAGCTTGCTAACATCTGAATTACAATCCTCAGACACACCTTGCTGACCCCAGAAATCATTTGAATAGACTTGAATAAGTCTGACAGTACTACCAAGAGTAATGGAGCATGATTGGTTGAGCCACTTTCTGGTTTGGTGAGTGCTCACTGCAGAGGCTGTAAAGCCCGACAATTTACAGCAAATAGTGGAAATTCCAGCTTAGAGTGTAACAGCTATCGCAGATAGCTGCGTGATGGTATTTCTCTGTTCTGGAATCAGCCTCATATGCTGAAAGGAAAGCATGAGAATGTGTGCAGGTGGCACTTCAATGCAGTCACATCCATTGATCCAAAACTGAGTTACCAACTAGTTCCCATTAACACGGACAATGCAGGCTTGTCCATATTTGGGAGTTTAAAGTTCTATAAAGCAAGTAAATAAGATGAAAGGAAGCAAATAATACTAAATGCAGCAAGGATATTTATTTACAATGTTATCTGTAAAAACTACCAAATATATTACTTTTTATTAACTATTTGTTCTGCTGAGTTCAATATTTTGTGTATTTATCGTTTTACTTTTTCATTTTATTTCATCGATAGCTCTTTTTAATAATTTTGATATTTTTTGATCGCTCAGACATTCTAAACATTTTTTGACTTGTTTTCATTTCACTCTTTTCTGTGTGTTTGCTCTTTTTTTTTTAAATTTTGTAACTATCCACTTTGTAACAGATTCCTGAAAACATTTAAGAAATGCAATGTTATGATGTTCCTAATAATCAGATTTTAAGGTGCTAGTCCTTTGTTGATCTTATCAATTAAATGTTTAATAATATATTAAGTGTATATTAAGTAGTGCATAGATGGAAAAAAAATACTAATTACAGCCTCATAATTTGAAGTTCAAATATGTTACCTATTCCTGTAGTCAGCGAATGAACTACCGGTAAACAAACTTACTTGAGAACTGTAAAGCAAGACATTTACTGATAACTTCCTTTTTTTTACTGAAAGCTTCCTGTTTTTGATCACATAATTCATGGTAAAAATGGAAAGATGTAACTTATTACATTTTCTAATAATGCCTTAGTATCTAGACTTTCTTCTGGAATAGCATGTATGTTACAGTTAAAGGAGCACTCCAAGTACCATAACCACTACAGCCACTTTTCTCCAGAGTAAAGCAAGGCCCTCTCATTGGGTGAGTATGCTTAAGTGATATTGCTCAGCTCCACAGAGCTAACCCAATTCTCCTAAAGGAGACGATCAGAACCAGAATCTGCGGCAACAGGATAAAAAAAATAATAATTAAATATTCAAATCTTGGTCAGTGGCCAAAAATGCAAAGATGCTAAATATATAAATTAAACAGAAAAACATTTTAAAAGGTTATTTCTAAAGTTCTCTTTACTATAATCCTAATTTCTTTGAAGACTAGGAAATGGCTGCTGATTCTCAGCCAATCCTTGACCTCCAATTGTTCTCACTGGAATGCTGAGTATATTCTATAAACCTCTGCTTAGCATAGGTCTCCTTAGATATACACTTATGTTACCTGCACGTTACGAACAAATAAAGGTTTATTCAGGTGTGCACTGTCTGCAAGAGATCTCAAAGTGTCTTCTAAATCTTTGGCTAAAATTTTGATTACTTTGGTCAACGATTTTGAATTTCTGACAATCCACACTTTAGTGATTTCTTTAACATACACAGTACTTGTCCTTACTTCATCATGCCAGGCAAACCGTAAAAAATAATTCTGCACCCATTAAACAGGACCTGTCACCTTTCACGTTATTATAGTTCATCTCGGTAACTATTATTAAAGCATTTACTTGGGTGAAATGCTCAGCAAAGTCAAGTTCAAGCACACACCCCTGCTGCACAATCTTTAACCCCTTAAGGACACATGACGTGTGACATGTCATGATTCCCTTTTATTCCAGAAGTTTGGTCCTTAAGGGGTTAAACGCACTTTCACCACAATACATTTTCTAAATATTTCACAAAGATATCATCTGATTTGGAAATTCATGGAAATTACAATGCCGTCAAAAGATATCATACGACAAACTATGGTGCACTTTGCCTTGTAGTAAAGCTTGATGCTGTCAAACCTTGACAAATGGTGGAGCTTTTGCCGTCACGTTTTGTCAGTTTTCACTGCTGTCACTAGAGAAGGCTGTAAGATCCTAAATCTTCTCGTATCTCATGCCAGTTGGTCTATGGGACTTGTGACACCCAACAAACCTATGTGTTGTACTCTTGTGCACATGTGAAGGTACAGCAGTGAAGTGGTCTCCTGGCGAATTTAGCCCCAGAAGCTAATGATGGAAGATTGCCATGTCCGCAATGGAGAGCTTCAAGTAAATATAATTCACTTTGTCTCACCCCTAGCCATCTCACAACTAATAGGGATGCGGCCTATACAAAGAACCTAAAATCTGACAAAGTTGTTTTACCCCTTAAGTAAAAGGCTAGCATTATGGAACATCATTGTCATGTTTCCTTAAGTGGTTAATATAAGACAGGTGCTCTTTAAAGCTATTTTCACTACTATAGCTGTAACAATGGCACAATGTTCTAATGTCATACAGGGTTAAAAATACATTGTACATGAGAATTGGGTTATTAACTGCTCAGTGGCTTGCCAATCAACTGGCTTATTGCAAAACAGAGCAATCTGTGAACACTCACCTGATACAGGTGCATTTTAAGTTCCTATAATAAGAATATAAATCTACAATATGTTTTGATCCATTAATGATGTATTAAACTTGAGTGTTTATTCATTAAACAGCAAAATTAAGTGAATTGAAAACTGAATTGCAGAATTTTGTCAAAACCTGCTGATATCGAAAAAAAATCTCGAACTCAGCTATAGTCAAAACTAGCCTACATTTAGCAAATTTGTTTTCAATTCACTACAACTCTGTGCTTAGCGAATAAACCCCAATGACTTGTATGGTGACTTTATTATTAACCCTTTTTAATGATGATGGTTTATTTAAATAATTTTTGCATTTATTTATGATTGGTTATCAGAAGTATCCATAGTTTGCCTTTATTCCAGGCATCACAACCTCTTCAGTGATTTGAAGTGGTCATGGTGTCTGGAGTCTGTTTGTGCAGAGTTTCACTTTAAAATGCTGCACATATGGAGATTAACCCCTCCGCTACCAGAAGGGCAACTTTATTTCTGGCAGCATCTTTGGAGCCTCACTAGCCAGCCCAAAGCAATTGTTCCTTTCTGGATAGTGTCAATTCTGTGCAATTGTTGCACAGTCAATCAATGATTGCTGAGAGGTCAGGTGGTGCTCTCAGCCAATCAATGAGAGGCAGGATCGACATGTAAACCCGACTTCAAAGAAGAGCAGGAGTCCAATAGGACCCAGGCAAGAGGGCAAATAACTACAAAATGGTTTGCCCCATTACCGGTATAAAAACCAGGGTACTCTTGGTATCATAACCACTCAAGTGAGCAGGGGCAACTCTTTAACATTTCATGTAGCACGTGGCACATTTTGGTAAGTCTACAAATATATTGGTAGATGTGCCGAGCACCATATGAAAGATGGGTGTACTATAAATTTACCAAACGTTTCTGAAATATTTGGATTGCTTCTCTCTCAATTGGCGAGACAGCAGCGTTCATTTTGTCGACTAACAATTTTAGTAGACTAACATTTTTTAGATTTAGTTGACTAGAACTAAACTAAAACTGAAACAATCCAGATGACTAAAATATGACTAAAACTAAAAATGGCATTTTAGTCAAAAGACTATGACTAAAACTAAATTGAAATTTGCTGCCAAAATTAAGACTGCACAGAGGGGCTGTGGAAAGGGCAAAAGAGACAGACCAGGGCTTGGGAGAGAGACACCTAGAGGGGCTGGTAGGACGCAAAGTGACACAGAGGGGCTGGGGAAGGGGCAAAAGAGACAGATCAGGGCTTGGGAGAGAGACACCTAGAGGGGCTGGGAGGACACAAAGTGACACAAAGGGGCTGGGGAAGGGGCAAAAGAGACAGATCAGGGCTTGGGAGAGAGACACATAGAGGGGCTGGGAGGACACAAAGTGACACAAAGGGGCTGGGGAAGGGGCAAAAGAGACAGATCAGGGCTTGGGAGAGAGACACCTAGAGGGGCTGGTAGGACGCAAAGTGACACAGAGGGGCTGAGGAAGGGGCAAAAGAGACAGATAGAGGCTTTACCTTAACCCAATAGATTTAAGAAATGTCGACTAAAATCTACTGGAGATTTAGTCGAATAAAACTAGACTTTATCTAAAACAATTAAGATGATTAAAACACAACTAAAACTAAAATGGCCTTTTAGTCAAAAGACTATGACTAAAACTAAATTGAAATTTGCGGCCAATATTAACACTGCAAGAGAGGTACTTAATATAAGCTGCTGTTTAAAAAAAGGGGGACAAAATACACCTGATTGACAGGTAAGATTTAGCTTCTCAGACAGTGACAACAGCAAGGTGTCTCATGCAGAGATATATCTGATATGCAGAGATGATGAATGTGACAAACAGGGTTTGAGAGAGATTTTACCTGTGGTGGCCGCCCTATACGCTACGTAATTCATACTTTCACACTGGATTTCAAGCACATAGCAACATACAGGATACACAGAAATAACCTTGGGGTTATGTGTTAAAGTTCCTGTAAAACAACATTTCTGCTAAAAATAGCAGATATAGCAGTGCTCCAGCTGCACCAAGTACAAAATTGATTGAATTGGCTTTAAAGAATATTATAAGAAAAAGTGCAAATTCACTCAGAAAATATATGATCTGAAAGGCAGAACAGAGTTGCAAAAAGGGAATGCTTTGCTTATTTCTATTGGTTTCCATGGCGATTGCACCACTTTTAGAACACAACACTTTTATAAAACTCCATCTCAGTTTTGCACTATAGTCTCATCCCCCACACTGTATCCGGGATGATCTGTGATGCATGAGAAAAAAGTATATTAAATATTAATAAAAATATAAGAATTGAAAATGAGAATAAGCAGTCTCAGTTGTGAGTGCATGAAGTCTATTTATTATTAGCAATTATATAGCACTTGCATCAGCGCTTAAAGGGACACTATAGAAACCCAGACTACTTCAGCTCATTGAAGTGTTTGAGTGCACTGTCCCAGGTCCCTTTTGGTCACCTAACTGATGCTGGACGTCCTCACTCTATGCATGGGGCCGTCCAGTGTCCCCAAATTTGTATAATGCTTTCCTATGGGGAAATCTTCATGTCACCCAGGTAAGTGACAGAAGGGGTTATGCACCAGGGAGGGGGGTAGGAGTGCAAGATAGGGGGGGGCTATAATGCCAGGAAAACAAATTTGTTTTCCTGGCCCCATAGTTTACCTTTAACAATTATAGAACAGGGATATTTGCAGGTGACAAAGCATTACTTATACTAGTGTCACCTCTATGATGATTTGAGGGAGGTGGATATATAACATAAGAACACTTACTGGTAAGGTCTGGGATTGTCTGGGAAGACTGGGCTTTTCCAGTCTTTAAAGGAACACAAACGTGTATTCCTGACCCTGTAGTGCAAAACCCACCATTAAGGTGGTTTGCCCCCCCACCCCCTTACCCATCTTAAAAGCATGAAAAGCTTTGCTGGCACTGGCCCTGCACCCTTGGTGACATCATCAGAATTGCCAATTTTTTGCCAATCCAATGCTTTCTCATGGTGAAAGCAATGGATTGGCTGAAATTGGCAGGGGACAGGGCCAAACGCCGTTTTGGCCAATAAGCACCTCCTCAAAATTCAGCGTCCCCATGCAGAGCGTGGGGACGCTGAACGGCAGAGATGCCTACTGTGCAGCAATGAGACAGGAAGCATCTCCAGCGGCCATCTAAGGAGTGGTCGCTTGGAGGTGTCCCTATGGGCAATATAAACACTGCCTCTTCTAATTATAATACTCACCTGAACAACTACATTAAGCTGTAGTTGTTCTGGTGACTATAGTATCCTTTTAAGGCAGTAAGATTACCACTGTGCTAACCAAAATTTAGTTCTTTTTACAAACCATGAGTTTGCGTAAGGGTGTGCCAGACTCACTCTAATGCATGGCCAAACTGCTCTACCACTAGATCCTTAAATGCACAATTTCATTAATAATGCAAGTTTTTCACTAATATAGTAACTGTAGCAAATTGAAATCCAAATCATTATTTAGAGTTTAGTGTACAACCCTGCAAGTGTCAGTTTAGGCTAGTTTATTATCTGGTTAAAGATAAAAATCACAATAGTTGATTGACTATGTTTAGGCTAATATTAGGCCAATACTAGAATACACATTTGTGTCTTGTTCATTAACATCATTTTTAAGCAAAGTTTAGTTGGAAATTTTAAAAAAGTTACATTGTTACATTTTAGTTTATTTGATGACTACACAAAAAAAATCCCTACAAAATATTTCTAATTCTGTAACAATAAAATGGGCTGTACAAATCTAGGATATACATAACACAGATACACGGTAAAATAAGATCAAATGGATTTCAAACGTATGGTGACAAATTGTGCCACAACATCTGTATAACTGCTACTGAACTATGTCTTTGTAACCCATGGGTTCAATTATATACAAACATAGGAATGAACAGTGACGTTCACAGCATAGAACAGGCAGGGTTCTATCGAATTAGCAATCAACTTGTAATACTGTCTAACGATGGTCTACTTTCATATATGCCTCTAGTCCATGGGAATTTCTTTATGACAAATGTAATTTTACAGAACGTACAACGACAAAAAAAAAATATCCAATTATTTCCTGGTCAATTCAGTACAATTGCTGTTCGTGAATCACCTTGTCAGAATAAGCCGCAATCAATACATTTGTGTTCAAAAGTAAAAAATGTATAAAATACAAAGTCCAAATTGGCCAAAAGAAAAACAAGTTAGGCATTTAATGCCTCTAATTAGTGCACTGACACATATAAAGTCACCTGTCTTGAATTCCCTTTTACTCTACTGTAAAAGCACAACCTTGTGTTACAGATTTCCAAAGTGAAATCTTTGGCTGAAATACTAGTTCAGGTTTTGAAAACCTTCATATCGACAAAACCTCGGTAAGCACCGGGTTAGTGTAGAGTGACGGGAATGGTAATTCAATAATATTGACCATACTACCCATTTTACAGTGTCGCAAAATATGTTGATGCTTTATAAATAATAAAAAGATTACATTTACAAATTGTCTTTCTTCTCCCTGTCAAACTATTAAGAAATCAGAAAGGGTCCTTAAGTCTATTTAAGGTTATAGCTTAATCCTTACAGGATATCCGTCAGGACGCTCATATACAATCTAGCTGTGAATAACGATGACAACTCAATACATCATACATTTATGGCTCTAATACTTTTCAATTACATTATTTTATTGAATATTTGACAACACCCTGTTTTATATTATTAATGGCAAAAACCACATGTTGCAGAACTACATCCCCCACAATGCTTTGTAATTCTTACTCTACCATTTAGCTATCATTTTTTTATATGCTCCTCTGTGTTTAACTGTATTTTTTTTCTTCTACCAAATGTTGCTTCCTCTGATGATAAAGTACAGCATTAGCAGTCCAAATATTTATTACTATCAGGAAGAGACAGCGGTAATATCCAGCCAGGATACTTAGTAACTATTTTTTCTGGATGGCAAAGTGTGATAAAGCTATTGCCTTGTGAGATTACATCAGGAGACCCAGACGGAAAGTGAGGAAAACTGTTTTAATCATCTACAAGAAGCTGGGAAAGACTGGAAGCGATATGCTTCCTGCCCAAGAAATTGTAAAGAATTTCTAAAACAAGGAACGGTCATCGAGGTTTCATTAGTTTTCCATATGTTTTTACTGTTTGTTAGTGTTTTCAACTATGTATATTGTTCGTCTTGTTCTTTGTTTGTCTGTGTTATTAAGTATGTATAACAGAGATGGCCAAATGCTGGCACACCGGCCGTCTGACTGGCTGAGCATTGTGGGGAAAAAAAAGACCACTAGAACTGGATCTCCAAAGCTTACATTACAATACACAATTTTATATAGCGGCAACATATTCAGCAGCGCAGTAAATAGGTGCAACGAGAAAAACGATTAATTCTAACAAAACACATTTGACATACGGGAATGGTAGGTTAAGAGGGCTCTGTCCAAATGAGCTTACAATCTAAAACATCAATTACTATTATATAAGTACTATGCATGTATGTATACTGTCATTTCAGTATATAGGTATGTATTATATATATATATAAAACGATTCAGAGTTGTACGTAATGACCCAGACCCTGAATTGACCTTGTTTTAAATGTATCTGGGGATTATAGCTGGAGGGGGAGAGACTCCTGACATACAACGCACATTATACATGACAATGACACACATACACACACACACATATATATATATATATATATATATATTGAGAGAGAGAGAGAGAGAATGATAGATCTGTAGAGAGACATATCGATATGTTAATAGATATCTAGATAGGTAGATATATAGATAGATAGAGAGATAGAATGATAAATACATATATTTGCAACTAGGATATTGATTAATTGAGGGGCAACTTTTTCACACAGTCCCCCTTAGTTAATGACCACCCTCCAATTCTCATAGGGTCTCATTTACAAATGACACAGGGTATCCCCTTCCCTACCTTTCCCAGGAGCAGAAGTCCTGATAAAAGCAGCAGAGGGGCCACACTCCTTCCCATGTGTAAGGGCCCCATTTCCAGATGTGATGTGTTGTGCTTATCCCTTTATTAACTTGCAGGACATGGCAGGAAGTGTCCCAGCCAGATTCAGGCTCCCTGTCACCCTGGCAGGGACTGTGTGTAGCTGTAGCTAGCACTAGTTCATCTCCTTGCCTTCATGCCTGAGGAGAAATTTGAGATCTAGAGGAGGGGAGAAGCCCGTGTCTGGGTGGGGCATTACTAGTGTCAAACGTCCTTCTTTTTGGAGTTTAACACCTTCCCTGCTGGGGACTGGAGCTCTGGGTACAGTGAGTGGCAGTGCTAAGGGTCAGGAAGGGGTGAAATGTCTCCATTCATTGTCAGATGCTGTCACAGTGAAGTCACTGGCTTGTTCCCTGCAGAAGGATGGGGCATTCTCTGTCTTACATTCCTTTCCCACCATGACTTTGAGGAAGTCTTGACTCAAAAAGTGCTCCCTCTGCCCTCTCTCCTCCCACATTCCAATATAATTTGGTTAGAAAGCAGAAAAAAACTTCCTCTCTGTCTAAAAAAGGCAGTTTTACCCCAAAATAAAGAACAGGAAGCATTGGATGGATGGAGTCTGAGATCAAGGATTTTAGAATCCAGGGTGATTTAACAGCGCTATTTGGAAAATAATTTTTTTTTTTTTTTTTAGTTTGCTGTAGGGTTAGCCATTCCAGCTCTGTGAGTTATCAGGAATGGCAAAACACTCCAATCTGTTTTTGTTTCCTTGAAATTATAGCTAATCTGAAACTCTGTCTCTATTACATGCTGTCTGTGGTCAGTTTAACCCTTGCAGTGTCTGCTCAGTGTATGGAGGTTTAATGTAGCATTCCCCCTCCCCACCTTTTTGTAAATCAGGATAAGCATAATTTAAAATGCATATTTTGAGTTCAAGAGTTTTATTTTATTTTTTGTATGTATTGTAATGTTATTGTGGAAATGAGGGAATGAATATAATAATAGCAAATAACAGTACAAAGGTACAGACAACAAGTGATCTGCTACTTTTTTTTAAAGTAGCAGACATAGTGCATTAATCAAATAAAGAATTCTTGACACATTTCAAAATGGCACAGGAATATTTACACAGTAAAACTATGTATTATTATTTATTATTAGTTATTATTTAGCCCTTTAATTGATCCCTATAGTCTGTAAGCTCGTTTGAGCAGGGTCCTCTTCAACCTATTGTTCCTGTAAGTTTTCTTGTAATTGTCCTATTTATTGTTACATCCCCCCCTCTCAAAATATTGTAAAGCGCTACGGAATCTGTTAGCGCTATATAAATGATGATAATAATAATAATAATAATCTCACAGAACAAAAAAGTCCAACAAGCTCTTCGTTAATTCAGATTTTTCCCCGTAGTACAGTTATATTCACCTTTTTCTAAAGTTAAAGTGCAAATAACATTAACTGCATTTTTTTTTTAATCGTGTCTAGTTATTACATGCCTCTCTCATAACCATATGGGAAGCAATGAGCCCACCACCTTCTCGTACCTTGACTGCATTCATACTTGAATGTAAGCTCTTGCACAGGACCATCCTGTAGTTGTATACCTACATTTGTTTCATCAATTACTTGTGTGTTTTGTTCACCCATTTTACATTGCTGCAAGATATGTTGGTGGTTTTTAAAAATAGTGTGATGATAATAACAATATTTTTTCTTATTTAATATAGTCCTAATGCACATCTCAATGATATCGATTTTTTTTTAATGGGTTAACCTTTACTTAATTCACTGGAAATCAATTCCACATATGTACTACTCTTCTGGCATTAACAATGATACATTATATCTTATTCTATGACTTTTTCTCTTCTCATATTACTATATTTCCTTCTTAAACTTTGTTTAAAACGTACTATAATACCCTGTTTCTCAACCCATGGTGTGCCTACCCTAGGGGGGATGTGTACCATGAATAAGAATGATGAGTACTTGGAACTGTACACAGCCTCTCACACATATACACACATATAGACACACACATGGCCTCTCACACATATACACACATATAGACACAGACAGCCTCTCACACATATACACACATATAGACACAGACAGCCTCTCACACATATACACACATATAGACACACACATGGCCTCTCACTCATATACACACATATAGACACAGACAGCCTCTCACACATATACACATATAGACACAGACAGCCTCTCACACATATCACACATATAGACACAGACAGCCTCTCACACATATACACACATATAGACACAGACAGCCTCTCACACATATACACACATATAGACACACACAGCCTCTCACACATATACACACATATAGACACACACATGGCCTCTCACACATATACACACATATAGACACAGGCCTCTCACACATATACACACATATAGACACACACACAGGCTCTCACACACATATATAACGATATAGACACAGACAGCCTCACACACATATACGCACATATAGAAACACACACTCTCATAAATATACACACAAACATATGTACAGACACAGTCTCTTACACATATACACACATAAGGCACACACAGCCTCTCACACATATGCACACACATATATACACACACAGTCTCTTATAGACACAGACAGCCTCACACACATATACGCACATATAGAAACACACACTCTCATAAATATACACACAAACATATGTACAGACACAGTCTCTTACACATATACACACATAAGGCACACACAGCCTCTCACACATATGCACACACATATATACACACACAGTCTCTTACACATATACACACATATAAACACACACAGGATCTCACACATATACACAGCCTCTCACATATACACACACATATAGACACACAGCCTCTCCACACATATACACACATATAGACACACACAGGGTCTCACACATATAGACACACAGCCTCTCACACATATACACACACATATAGACACACACAGCCTCTCACATATATACACATATGTAGGCACACATAGCCTCTCACAGCCTCTCCCACATATACACACATATAGACGCACACAGCAACTCACACATATAAACACATATAGACACACAGCCTCTCACACATATACACACACATATAGACACACACAGCCTCTCACATATATACACATATGTAGGCACACATAGCCTCTCACAGCCTCTCCCACATATACACACATATAGACGCACACAGCAACTCACACATATAAACACATATAGACACACAGCCTCTCACACATATACACACACATATAGACACACACAGCCTCTCACATATATACACATATGTAGGCACACATAGCCTCTCACAGCCTCTCCCACATATACACACATATAGACGCACACAGCAGCTCACACATATACACACATATAGACACACGCAGCCTTTCACACATATACACACATATAGACACACACAGCGTCTCACACATATACACACATATAGGCACACACATCCTCTCACACATTTACACACATATAGACATCCACAGCTACTCACACATTTACACACATTTAGACACACACAGACTCTCACACATATAGACACCCACAGCCTCATACACATATACACGCATAAGTACATACAGTCTCTCATACGTAGACACATCCATTCACTCACACACACACACACCTACCTTCTCACACAAACACTTATACATTCACAGTCTTCCTAAGACAACACTTCACGCAGCAGTCTCCATACACAGACTTCAAGAACCACACACGCATGCACAATCCCCACAGTCAGACGGGCAGAGTGACAGAGAGTAAAACTCTAGCAAAGATGAAAATAACTGAGGAGAAAGAACTGGTAATATGAAAGAGACAGATGGGAAACAAGACTAAAGGGAGATGTGGGATACATGAGAGGGCAACAAACTGTACCAATCCTCAATGATACTTTTTTCACAGAATCAGTGGTACATCTACTGAAAAGTGTTATAATTCACAAAATACAGAATTGCAGAAATAAAATCCTGAATTTTTGGCAAGTTGTCAGATGCAAATGTTTCTTTCAAATGACTCCTAGTCTTTTGTTTCACTGCTACAAAGAGAAACTGTTAGGACATTTAGACACAGACTCAATATTTTTCCATAATATCTGACACATATCTCATTCATGATTATGAGAAGATAAGTAAAATTGTATGGTAATCATGCAGAATTTGCACATATCCAAACGAGACTGAATAAGATTGTAATCTTTAATAAATCCTGCAAGTACTGTCCAAAGGCCTAGCCCTCAATATATATAAGAAACAGTAAACCAAAGCCCACCAAATTCAGTCAATTTAGATTCCTTGTAAGTATAAAAATTACCAATGCAAACTTTATAGATTTTTTTAACCTACTAAAATATGTGTGCATGCTCCACGATCACTTAAAATAAAGGTGTATACTAGAGTGTTTAAAACTACAACATTCTTCTCATCAGTCCACTATGTGACCTATATAGACAAAGGCCAAAGCTAGAAAGTAGAAGGGGGCAATATTTCATCTATTTAATTTATTACTGAATAGATTGCATTCCTTAAAGGGACACCGTAAGCACTGTATCTGCTTCATCTCATTAAACTGGTTATAGTGTATGGAGTCCCCTGGTGCCATCATTTCTTTCAGCACTAAACAGTTCTTTAATGTTGTAATGTTTTAATGCTAAACAAGAGACCACGGCAGTCCATCCCCTCTGTGCTGCTTTGGCTAATAGGGAAGTAATACCCTGAGCAGCAATGGGCAGCTGTGATTGGCTGAGAGTGTCAGCTGACTGCTTTTAACCTGTCAAAGCTCCAACTGACGGTATGAATGGGTATGACAACAAGGAAGTGTGTAATCTCTGCCTCAGCTACACATACAGAAGGGGCCGGACTGTGGGTGGCCAGGGACTCTTATTTTGTGGCATACTGCACAAACATGGTGCAACACTGAATGGAGGGACAGTGCCAGGGCACTCCAGGCACTATAACCAATTCAAAGAGACAAAGTGGTTATAGTGACTACAGTGTCCCTTTAATAGTTCTTACAGTAAAATAACAAAACACAGCAACAAACAAACAAACCTAGTGTAATAATCAGTCTAAAATAGTCATTAAATGAACACTCCAGAGCCCTAATTCACTTTAGCTTTACGTGTGAAGAATGTGTCCTCTTTTTCAGTTTTGAAATAGTGCAGATTTCAAAAGAAATGTACAGTCAG